TATAATTAGACATAATAAGATAATAATAGTAAAAATTTAGATTTTTGAAATGCTTAATCACCTCTCTCTCTCTCTCTCTCTCTCTCTCTCTCTCTCTCTCTCTACTCTCTCTCTCTCTCTCTCTCTCTCTCGCTCTCTCTCTCTATAATATATATATATAATATATATATATGATATATATTAAAATTAAAAAGTAAAAAAAAATATCCAATCAAATCATAAAAATATTATATATATTTTTAGATTAAAATTATTTAATTGACTAAGATTAAGGTTATTTTAGGATATCTTAAATTTCACATGAACAATATCGGCAATCTCATTATTCACCTCTTATTCCCACTTTTATATATAGTATTAGTCTTTTTTATGACGTGTGTTGTACATTGACAAAGCTCGTTATTAAGAAAAGGTAACAAAGATAAAATACGAGCTTGCTTTATAGCAATAGTAATTAATCGTTGTTGTTTTAAACTCAATCTATTCAACACGCCTTGCTTTTACTGCTATATCGGGAGTTACTCCATGTATTGCTTGACGTAAAACAAATAGTGAATTTGTTTCTGTCTTTTGTACTTCTTAGTTTGATGATCGATTCAACCTCTGATAAAAAAGATATACCTTGGTTATATTTCATCTCTTTAACAAGTTTAGTAATGAGTATAACGGTCCTATTGTTCCGATGGAGAGAAGAACCTATTAAAGCATAAGTTTTTGTTTAGATTAAAATAAATACAATTACTTAATTTGTATTAGACTTTATCGTATAAACTACTTGCAATACTATTTATTATGTAGTTGATTCTATTTTTATAAAATGAAGTGGTCTTAAAATAAAGTTCAATCTAATCCCTATACCTAATCCTTTAGTCTCTAATTTATAAGTACAGATTCTTAAAACCCTGATAGATACTCAAAAAAAAAAAAAAAAAAGTTAGATAGATACTCAAAAAAAAAAAAAAAAAAAAAAAAAAAATCAAGTTATCGCTTAATCCCAACCCTTGCCCTCAATCCCAAATCAATATCTATATACAGTTATACTGAAAAATAATAATTTTTTATTGATTGGTACAAGAAAAGAAATGAGAAGATGATCTGAATTAATAATGATAATAATTCAGAATAAAACTCTTTTAAGAACTCAAAATATAACAAGAAATAAATTATATTAAAAAAAATTACCAATTTAAATTTCAAAAATAATCCTAAAAATGCTATAATTTAATTAAATTTGATTTTAATGGACAAAAAAAAAAGTCAAGTCAATAAATGAAAATTACAAAGCAAAAATCATGTCAAGATCCAATATTGGTCAAATAAGTATTTTGTTTCTCTATTGTTCTAAGTTACAAATTTTAAAAAAAAATAAATGAGTTAATTAAGTAATAAAAAAAAGATTACATAAAAGAAACGTTATATCATCTTCAAATAAACCCACAATTTTTCCTATAACCATAAAAAAAAGAAGAGTATATTTTTTTTTTCTTTTTTATTATATATATATTTATTTATTTAAAAAATAAAAAATTTTAGAAATTATATCCAATCAAATAATAAAATATAATTTTTCGCTTTTTTTTCGTCTTAGCCATAGATATCCTGAGCCCACTGGGTTAAAACTAAATCCTACTCGCATCAAGTCGACTCAAGAAGGGATTAAGTGCTTCTAGCAAGTATTTGCTCCATCCATAAAGATCGAGCTCTCGACCTCACCTAAAGGAAAAGAGTGTCGAACAACTTATCCAAACACTCGTTGGTATCAAATATAATTTTTGAATTTGCTATGACTAAGGCTATTTTAGGATGTTCTAAATTTCACTAAGGACGATATCGAAAAATCCCATTGTTCCCCTCCATTTCCACATTTATATATAGTACTAGTTCTTTTTTATGTCGTGCGATGCACGTTGACTATACTCATGATATGCTCATTTTTTATACTTGTTTAGTTTTTTATTTATATAATTAAATTATAAATTTTTATTTAGATTGCAATAAATATAGTAGTTTTTATATATACAGTAATTTTTATTTAGATTGCAATAAATATAGTAGTTTTTTTATATATAACAAGTAAATATTTTTTTTTAAATTATATAATCTTGCACTATAATATCTCATTGAAAATATCTCATTGAAAAAAATTGATATATTTGTTTCTCTCTTTAAAATAATAATTTAAATATGAAATATGTCATTTATATTCTCTTCAATATACTGATTTATATAGTTTTTATTATAAGTTAGTTGCTTTTATTCTTTATTTAAGTAACAAATTGATTTATAAAAAATCACTATATAGCTTTTATTTTACATTTTATAATTAATTTACATATTTTCGTTAATAAATTTCACAATAATCTCTGTTAGTAAATATATACTTTAACAATAGAATAAGAAACTAATCTAATAAACCAAATTAAATATCTATAAATAATAATTATTTTTATAATAATAAATATAATAATAATAATAAATTTTTTTTTATTTTTTTTTAAGCCAATCAAAAATCACGAAATCATTTAATAAATTTATAGTTAAAAATTCATATTCCTTAATAAAAGAGGTAGGATATTGAATTAAATTAAGAATATCAATATAAACCTAATTAAATTCGAGATGGTTTAAGAATAATAAATTTTTTATCTTATTTTTTTTGGCCAAACCTAAATTAAATTAGAGCATAATTTGTAATTAAAAAGAAATTTAGCATAATTTGTAATTAAAGAAATTTAACCGTACCATTTTTAAATCAAAATCTTAATTATCTAGATATATTTATTTAAAATAAATTAAAAAAAAAGTTTAAATGCCTCATATTTACATATATTCCTTTAAAATAATAATGTTGAAGATAAATTACAATAACAGTAGATAAAAATAAAATAATAAATAATAATAATAAATTACTAAAATTATTTAATTATTAGTAATAATATAATAAAGTAAAACATACTTAGACATGATAAGATAATAATAGTAAAATTTTAAATTTTTAAATGCTTAATTATCTATATGTACTTATCTTTTAAAAAAAAAGTTAAAAAACACTTAATCAAATTATAGAAATATTATATATTTTTTTATGTTAAAATTTTTTAATTGTCTATGACTAAAGTTATTTTAGAGTATTTTAAATTTTACAATGACAATATAAAAAATCTCATTATTCTTCTCTCATTCCCATTTTTATATATAGTATTGATAGATAGATTATAGATTATAAATTTATTTTATTATCTATTAAATTAAATAGAGCAAAATAATGTATATAATAAATACAAGAAACATGTAACATGTATTTAGTTGTAACGTTTACTTTAAATCTTGAATTGTATAAATTAAAAAAAATATATAGTAAATAAAAAAATATTTAACTTTCAGTATAGCCTTATTTTATAACATTAAAATAATTAAAAATTCAGTAATAGCTTATTTTTATAACATTAAAAATAATTAAAAATATAATATTAATTTTAAATATATAATTAACGCCGTATTAACGTTAATTATTTATTAAGTATAATATTTGAAAAAAAATTTAATTAAATATTAATAAATTTATTTTAGAATATTTTAAATTTCATTATGGGTATTAGCGTAACATTAATTATCTAATAAGCACAATATTGAAAATAAAATTTAATTTAGTTATTAATAAGGTTATTTTAGGACATTTAAAATTTCAATAAAGTTATTATCAGTAATTCCATTATTCTCCCACATTTCACTAATATTTCAATAGACTAACAATTATAACACCCTATAATTTTATTTTCAAAACCTCATGAATTAATTAAATCAAAATTCCTAAATATCTTACACGAGTACTAAAACATACTAGATTATGTTTAGCCCAAAGAAGATCATGTTGGGCTGAGCCAATATTGAAATGTCGAGCCTGATCTACGCAGAGAATTTTATCAATAAAAATTTTAGTAGACCATATAATTGGCAATTTAATTAATTAATTATATATATATATATATACAATATTATATATAGTATAGTTATTATAATTAATTAATTATATATATATATATATAGTTATTATTTAATATTATTATTAGCACTATAACAAATTTATTAAAAAGTCGAATTGTGATCCGGTTGGTCTTCTCACTTATGTGAAGAGTTAAGACCTCTCAATCACAATTGTTTTACCAATTTGGTGAATCAAAAGGAGGGCTATCTCTGTTGTGTAACCCACGATGTTATTTTGGCCAACAAAAGCCATTAATATTAAAAAAAATCATTAAAAAAGAGAATTTAAGCCCAACCCGTGGAATTAGGGGTGGCCAAAATTTGGTTTTCAGAACCAGAACCGTTCGAACCTATAGGAATTAGAACCGGAACCTGTCCGAATCGATTTGGTTTTGGTTTCATCAGTTTGGACCTATGAACCGTGGTTTCCTAAACCAGTCGGAACCGACGGTTTCAGTTCCGGTTGGAACCGTTTGGAACCGGTCTGAACCGTTCGGAACTGTCCAGAACCAATCGAAATCGATCAGAACCGGGCAAAAAACCGGCTAGAGAACCGACTGGGTTTTAGAACCATCAAAGAATCAGAATCGGAACAAGAACCATTCGGTTCGAAACCAAAACCGAAATCTTTAATTTTTGATTCGATTCTAATTCTAAAAAATTTGAAACTGAAACCGTCGGTTGTAGAACCAAAACTGACGGTTCCGGATCCGTGGCCACATCTGCGTGGAATGACATGGTAGAATAAAAAAAAAAAAAAATTAAAATCACTCTAAACCAATTCAAACCGGACCAAGTCAATTAAAATCTAGAGGCTTCTATTAATCGAACCGGGACCAGTTGATTAATGGGCTATTGAGCCGAATCATAGGGAGAACGCGTCTCTCTCCCCGATCATCCTCTCTCTCTTCCCCTTTCTTCTTCTCTTCTTCTTTTCTCGCCCGAATCATCCTCTCTCTCTTCCCCTTTCCTTCTTCTCTTCTTTTTCTCAGTTGATTAATGGGCTATTGAGCCGAATCATAGGGAGAACGCGTCTCTCTCCCCGATCATCCTCTCTCTCTTCCCCTTTCTTCTTCTCTTCTTCTTTTCTCGGAATGATCTCAGCCTCTCCTCCATGCCGGCCAAGGAACGGCGGGTTCCAACCTCCGGACACAACTAGCAGCCTTTTTCCCTTAAGCTGGTCTTCCGTCTTTGCGGCTCAAATCACCGTCGCACTTGTAAGAGAGGGTGCCGGACAACTTGATTTCAGTCTCTTCACACTTTGCCTCTGCGAATCTCTGAAAGCTCCATTCAGGTTTTGCTCTACCAGCTAGGTACTATATTTTTTCCATTCTCTGTCAATTTACGTTTTGTTTTTTCTTTTTCCTTTATTTTTAGTTTCTAATCAGCGAATTTTATCATCCTTCAATCTATTTTCCTTCTCGGTAGTGTCCAAAAGCCACATCAAAATTAAAGCTGTTGAACAATTTTCTAAATCACATGGAATAATTTTTAAAATGCTGCGACGGCGTGACGCGAGCGAGAGATCTGCCTCTTCTTGGCAAAGTAGAAATTCGCGACACTTTATTCCTGTGAAACCAGAAGAAGTTGTAGCACTACTGGGCAAGGCCATTTGCCCATATGAGTTAAGTAATCTTCCTGCATCTGTTATTCCAACTTCAGTTTAATCCAAAATGGCAATGCCGTTGGTATATACATATGTGTTTGGGTAACGGTTCGGTTCGGTTGGATGGTTTTGACTCTAAAACCGTAAACAAACTAAAGTTCAGTTTTTTTAAAGTTTTACAAACTAAACCAAACCAACAATTTTTCAAACCACAGCACGGCTTCCGCTGCCATCATCCCACCCACCGAAAACTGCTGCAAGCAATTCTAATTTGCATCCAATAGAAAACGAAATTATGGCTATTAATCTATAAGGAAAGGATACGTCTCTCGTATATCATTGCTAAACAATCACTACTTCGCTCCCTCTCTTCCAAAGGACTCCACTATATCCTAGCAACAAGGTAGAAATACAAATCCTGTGCCCAATTCCTTTCATTGTTGTTATCGACTCGTATATTCCGTTTACATTAGTTGCCAAAAGGCTGTTGATTTAATTTTTGTTCTGTAGTTATCAAAATTTAGGAATGTTGGGGTTGAATTTTTATTAGTTTTAGATTTCTGTGGCCGCAGTAGTAAGGTGTTTGATAATATGCCTCATTGTAACTTTGCTACTAACTACTCCTGTTGGAACTTCTTTTTGAAGGGCAATAAAGGTTTTCTTTGTTTTTCTGATTATTTTGTAGGGTATTAAGTAATCTCTTTTAATAATTGTTTGTGGCATTTGGATTTTTGACATTGGACAATATAATTTTGAGGAATCTGAAATTTGTTTGGCTCCTGTGATCATATAGTTCCTTCTTGTAGTGACGATGGCACTGAGGTTGGCTAGCCGGAAGTTTGGTAGCAGATTCTTCCCCATATTCTCTTCCACTTCTCAACTGCATTCACATGCTACAAGTTTTGGTAAGTTCGAGAGAGATTTATTTTTTTTCAGATACTTTCATGCAAGAATTGTTCAAATAACTGAGTTCTAGTCGTTTGAGAAATTTTCATTTGCAATTTAAGCATAAAAAGTAGGCATCATTACAAATTTCTATTCGACCAACATTGTTGAATATATGTCTTAAATCTTAAAAATATTGAAATATCAAGTATGGATTGCTTTTTTTTTTTTTTTTTTTTTGCATAAAAAGTAAGCATCATTAAACAAATTTCTATTCGACCCAACATTGTTGAATATATGTGTCCTTAAATCTTAAAAAAAATATTGAAATATCAAGTATTGGATTGCTTTTTTTTTTTTTTTATTTTTTGGGGTGGGGGGGGGGGGTTTGGGGGTTGGGGGTGGGGGGTTGGTGGTGGGAAGTAATTACTGGTAGTTGTTGGCAGATACAAATATGAGGATGCATTGTGTTATACTAAAAAATGGTGGGAAGAGTTCAGTTATCCAAATGTAACTTTAAGTCAGGTTGAGAATAGTGAGAAAATAAGCACCGTTTAAATGAAGCTGATGCTAATAAGTGAACTACATGCATATAAAAAAGCAATATATGTACATTTGTTCTATCTCAAATGCACTTGAAATTCGTACTTCATTCCTGTTACTGATTTTGTTTTCATGCTTAAAACAAAGCATATAGCCTCATTGCTCTGATCCTCCCCCTACTAGATACATTTTTTTTTTTTTTTTTTTTTTTTTTTTTTTTTTTTTTGGTGCATTTAAATGTTTTTCCAAAAAAAACATTTTGCTGTTTCATTTTTCAAAAAAAAAAAAAAAAAAAAAAAAAAAAAAAAAAAAAAAAGGAAATTTGTGCTTCAGTCCTATTATCTATTTTTTTCCATGATTAAATTAAATAATATACCCTTATCGATCTTATCCTCCCTCTACTTGATAGAGTATTTTTGTTGCACTTAATGTTTTCCAGAAAGACAGTTTCTGGTGGACAGGTTTCTAGAAATAATACTTTACTGGTTCACTCTCAGGTTTTAAAGAAGTAAGGGAAGAAGAAAAAAGTCAAATGGTCAGCAATGTCTTTAGTAATGTTGCCTCAAATTATGATCTTATGAATGATTTGATGAGTGGTGGAATGTTGCCTCAAATTATGATCTTATGAATGATTTGATGAGTGGTGGATTACATAGATTGTGGAAGGACAGGTTAGATGCTAAGAATGCATTTTTTTAGTGATTGTTTATATCTCTTATAGGTAGTCTTCTCGTTGACTTATGTTATATGGAGCATTGTTCAGATTAGTTTGCAAACTGAATCCTTTCCCTGGAATGAAACATCTTGATGTGGCCGGTGGGACAGGTAAATTTCCTTATTCAATAGTTCTATGTTGTGTTTATTTTCTATAAATTAAACCTCGCCTAATGACAACTATGAACAAAGAGAAGCAACGCGAAAGTATAAAGTGGAAGAGGAATAAAGAGAAGCAACGCGAAAGTATAAAGTGGAAGAGGAATTTTTTTACCACAAAATAATGTATTGATAAGGGCAAAGTTGTATAATTCATTCAGCTTGTGAGCTACTCTTTATCTGTGTTCTGAAACATTTGCTTCTTACAGTCTCGCTCAAAACTGACAGTTCTGACCTAAGTAGTGTGTGAGAGAGAAAAAAAAAAACGGAAAGGAAAAAAAAAAAAAAAAAGAAATGTGTGATAGCTAGGTTTGTACTTTCCTAACGTGGCTGAATCATTTCAGACTAGCTAGGAAAAGAGAATGGTAGGTCCTCACACTGTCACATCCTATTTTTGGATGGTTTGGCTTATTTAACATAAAAAGAACAAAATTATTATTTTATGTGGAAATAGTTCCCACTTAGGTATTTGGTTATTTTTTGGTAGTACATGAAAACAAAATGGGATTCCCTGATGCCATTTTAATAGTTTATCTTCATCTACTTATTCACTACAAAGGAAAAGAAAATGTTAAATTTTGCCGTTGCAATTTTATTTTTAATAATTATCAACAGTGGTAGTACATGAAAACAAAATGGGATTCCCTGATGCCATTTTAATAGTTTATCTTCATCTACTTATTCACTACAAAGGAAAAGAAAATGTTAAATTTTGCCGTTGCAATTTTATTTTTAATAATTATCAACAGTTTTAATATGTATTCTGAAATTAGTGAGCTGATGATTTCAACAATTATAAAGCAATTTAAGACATGGTAGGAAATTTTCTGTTTTAACGAGTTTAAAGATAGTTAATTTTTGGAGATTCGTAGCTTAATTTGTTCCCTTAAAGTAGCAGAACTGCATTGTTTTTCTCCTGCTGAAACTGCTGTGGGAAAATTATATGAAAAGCAAGCAAGAAATTTTGAAGAATATTTTAGGGTCCATTTGGATTCGATGGATACTAATTTGAAATGAAGGTGGATTTGGATTCCATCATTGCTGATTTTTTTTTTTAAAAAAATTTTTTACTTAAAACAAAAATCCAAATCACGAGGATTTCAAATGAACATGCACACTAATAGGAATGGATCCTAAATTTTGATTGAGATAAATTTTGGGCATTTTATTGAGAGAATGAATTTATTTTAAAAATTTGATGAAAAATGCATTTCTTTGAATCTACTTTAAAAATTTCTTATCATGAATTTCAATCCCAATAAATTCACTAATCGTCACTTTTTGACTGATTGGTAAAACTGAAGCTACTTCTAACAGTTGAGTGTAGAATTGTTAAAATTAAAAGGATTGCCTAAAACTGAAAATTTACCCAAATGCCATTTTTTACTTTTGGTCATGAGGCAAAAATGGAAAAAATAAAAAAGAGTAAGGTGAGAGGGAACCTAGAATTACAATTTGCATATACTGTTCAAAGTGCCAATCCTGCATTATAAACTGTAAACAACCTCTAAATTATTGTGTAAAATCAATTCCAAAATTAACCATCGCCCCCCCAGATGCCAAAAAAAAAAAAAAAAAAAAAATATGCATTACCTTCATATTGATTTCCTGTTATCTACCATTGTTATCATTTCAGGACCCCTTTTTGGACAAACCTTTTCTGCTGCTTTGGCTTTTAGTTTAGGAAATTTTAATTTCTCTTAGCTTGTTCACATTTTGAAAATATTCTACACAAAAGATATTATTCAGTCTATCTTGGAACTAAAGAGTTAGTTGATGTGGTTTTTTTCCATTTTCATCTCATTGTTTTCTATGATGTTATCTGCAGTGCTTTTTGGAGTTTAAAAATTACTTTAATTTGAGAGATGTTGCTTTCAGGAAATCTGGAAACAGTAAAATAGTATCAAATTACATAGCACTTCAAGATCTTTTGAATGATAATTTACAAGAGGAAACTCAGATATATGTATGTGAAATCAATCAAACATGTTAAAACGTTTGGCAAAAAGCGGGGCTTATAGAGAGAGGTAACATTATATCCTAAACAAGCTAGTTTGAATAATTACTTGAGTAATTCTATTTTCTGTACAAAAGAAACATTTTTTAATGTATTTTTCTTTGATTTTTTAATTTTTATTTTGAACAACTTATAGGTCTTCAGAAAACAAATTTTGATTTTGAGAAAATTACTTGAGCAATCAGTTTTCTGCCAACAATTAGATTTTTCTTACCTTTTTACCTTTGTTTCAACACACAGGTCTTTGGAAGACAAAGTCCCTTGTATGGGTGGAGGGAGACGCTGAAGCCTTGAGTTTTTGAAGATTGTTTCAAATTGGAATGGTTACACAATAGCATTTGGAATTAGGAACGTTACACATATAGAGAAAGTTCTTGCTGAAGCTTATAGGTATGTTTACTTAATCCTTGGCTTGCTAATTCTTGCACATCCAAAATTGCTTTAATAATTTTGAAATAATTAGAAGTGAATAATCTTTCGATTCTCCAAGGTATTATTCAATGCACTTGGTGCATTGCTCTTCCCCTCTTCTCATTCATTGTGGGTTTTCAACATGAGAGTTTTCATTCTTCTTGATCATCACCTGAACAAGGAGATAAAAGAGTTACAAAGAGTTTATTTAATCATTTCACCTTTTGTTGTCAAAAACGGGACCAAAAACATTGACCATTGTTAAAAGTTACAGGAGGGATTCAGTTTGAAACTTTAGACATCATTTCATCTTTCACATTCCCAATTTAATTGCCAATCTTGATTTGCAAAACATTGACATATTGAATGCAGTAGTAACCATACATATAGGTTAGCAAGATCGATATAAAATGTGTAATGCACTAAATTCAATTGAGGTATTTGTGAATGTCTGATAAATAGGGTTGTAGACCCATTGAGGCACTATTGATATGCTTTAGCTTAGCTATATCACTATTTCTGCCACCCATAATTTATATTGATATAATTATAAGTACAAATTCTCGTACAATGCTGTAAAAAATAACTTAGATGTCTTATTGTCGATGTTACAGTCTGACTTGCTACTTCAAAGGTAGGAAGGAGAATGTGTAAAAAGAACTTTGATTGTCTTATTTTTCTGAAATAAAAAGATCCTAGTGATTTTCTCTATAAAATAGATCCATCGACCTGCCAATAATAGAGGAGGGATTATACAATATAGGGCTACTAGAATATGGTACCCTTTTCATTGCTTTTCTATTTGATTTCATATTAAAAGGCCCAGTGAGTTATTTTGTTTATAATCAATTGACCCATGATTGGAACCAACTTCCTGCTGAGCTGCTTAGCACTTTATAGGCTATAGGTTCTCACTTTGCTACAGTCTTTTGTACCTTATTTTAGTTCAAGTAATTGGCTTATGGGATTAAATTGTTTATTTTGTGGCTTTAGAAATTGAGGGTATATAGTAATTAATGGGCTCTCGATTGAAATGATTTGGGCCATTAAGCCATAATTGAGGTTAATTTATTTTATCAAAGTTCTACTTTAGAGTTGCAAAGTTGAAACTCAATTAAAAGATGGCCTCTATTTTTTATTCAGGGGTACAAATATGAAATATCACACATTTTTTAGAAATTCAAGTAATTGATTTTGTTACAGAAGTTAGTTATATGAGTTTATTAAATATCATTCTTTACGATGCTTTATTTATTTAATATTTTATTGAATTAAAATCTCAATTTTGCTATTTGGTATGATGCTAGCGGGCTTAGTATTTTTGCTTATTTTGCAATTATTCAGATGAGCAGGATTCTGCAATTTTCTCTAATTTTTCTGATCCCTAAAATTTTGTTTTACCCCAAGCGTTTGGTTTATCAGAATTCAATTATTTCCTTTAATAAAAAAAACTTTTCTAGGTAAATAGATTTTCCAGGAAAGTAATCTTAAGAAAGAAAGTAATCTTAAGAAAGTTAGATTTTCATGTTTGGTTATAATGAACTTTTTATGAATATAAACTAATTGTGTCTGGTAATAATACCATAATTTATATATATTTTATCTATTTAATATTGTAGAATTATACTATAAAAACATATGACTAATTTAATAATTTTCCTAATAAAAAATAGCATGAAATATAAATATTATTCAAAAAAATAAATAAATACAACGCACTGAATGATCGAAAGTACAAGCTGCAAAAACAAATAATAAAGAAAGCCCAACAAAAATCTTATCAAAATTAACCAACAAAATATTTATAATTAAAGGTATTGAAGTCTTCAATCTTACATACCCATGGCAATGTAATTTTCCCACCCTTTGAAGCGGGAAAGTACTTTTTCGTGTATTCAAGTAAGTAGAGGTAATATCTATCGATCTAGGAAATTAAGTTTTCTGGGAATGTAACATTCACATACCAACCTAATACCGAATCTTGCATTTCCTAGGTACTTTCCAGTGCGATTATGACAACAGAATATCCCCTAAGCCTAATTTGAAAACTGAAAGGTTTCAAACATCGAAGATCAAATGTAATTGTGAAGATGCTGATTGTTAATTTGGAAGATTATTATTATAATTTTAATTAGTTGTATACTGTCTTCTGCTTCTGTACTGATAATCATTTACTGATTTGTTATTCAGTCTTTCTCAGAAACTTTTCTCCTTTTATTAATTTGTTGTTGATATATACTCTATGTTTTTGCTTATTAGGGTATTGAAAAGTAGGGTATTGAAAAGAGGAGGAAGATTCCTTTGCCTTGAATTGAGTCATGTGGAAGTTCCGATTTTTAAAGACTTGTGAGTATCTTTGGCACAACTAGTTGTTTAACTGATGATGCACACCATTTGTTGTATTAAGAACGTGATTTGCGCATAGTAGGTTTTTCTAATAAAAATCATTATCAAGATTGGCTGTGTTCTGGCCCTGAATATTATTAATTTTTTATTATCTTTTCAATTTTAATATTTAGGAAAAATGTTTCCTTTGCAAATATTCTTTTTTCGGTATCTTATTTTTATTACTTCTTTTAAACATAAACCTATTTGATGTTGGCAAAAGATGTTGGCAAAACCTCTTATGCCATATGTATAAAAGCCGCATGAGACATAAAAGCTACAAATTTTAGAGATACTGTAAACAATGAAATAAAATCATGCCAATAACAATGTTGTGAAGAAAAGGTAGAAGTAGCATGAAAATAAAGGTCAATGTCTCGAAGAGTTATTTGTTTTATGCTAAATTTGTCGCTTCATAAGCAATGGACTATCCTTACTTGCAGGATTAGATTGATACAAATGCTACAATTAACGGCTTGCTTTGATAAAATTAAAAGAATTAATAAGAATTCTAAGTTCATCTGAACTTTAGGATTTGTTCGACCCTTAGCCCATTCTTTTAGATCCAGGTAATGATATTGCGATTTTTACTCCACTGTTCCCAAATATGATTATTTTAGATGCAAACTGTTCCCAAATATGATTATTTTAGATGCAAAGTTCTCAAGTGCCTCATATATTCAATTTTTCATTAGCGTTAAGAAAGCAACTTTTTGCTTTACAAGGGGGAAAAACTTGACCCTTTTCCCCCACATTTTTGCCACTAATTGTTAGTACCATCCAACAAGCTGTCCTAGTTCTTTTGGAGCCAGCTGCACAAGTGTTTTTTTTTTTTTTTTTCTCAATGTCAATGGAATTAGTTGCAAATCGTGCGGGCTTCCTACATTCTAAAGTAGAGCTGTAGTGAATCGAATTTATGTAAAATTGAACTTTACCTAGGTTTGGGAGATAAATAAGTTATAGTCTCCAATGAGACCTAATCACTTAAAAGATTTTTGATGAATTTTATCCATTTGTCTTGCTTGAAGCTTCAAGTTATTGAAGCTTAGCATTCTTTATTTTCATTTTTCCCGTTGTATTTTTTTAATTATTATTATTTTTTTAATTATTATTCTGAAATCTAACTTCTTTAGTTTCTGTTTTATGGATTGCTCCTTTTCCCTTGCAGGTATGACTATTATTCATTTTCAATCATTCCAGCCGTAGGAGAGCTAGTTGCAGGTGACCAGGAATCTTATCAGTACTTAGTGGAGAGCATTCGTCGTTTTCCAAATCAGGTATTACTAAGATCCATATACTCTTAAATTTCTCAACGATGCAATTGATGAATCTTTGAACCTAATGATTAGAGTAGCCAGCTCGTTTATGTTTTATCTGGGGGCACCTTCTACCACACTTTTTGTTTTTAGTGAAAGTCCTTAACCAGAAACTAAGTACTTCATGCAAAACAGGTCTAGTAATATGACATCGAAGCGTTTATCAAATTGATATTTCTTGCAATGTTTTCTCTGCGTCTATGTTTTCCTCTTGCCGTACATCTCAGGTCACTCTTTTCCCTGCACACCAAATTTGCCCTTTTTTATTAGCATTGAATAAAAAGAAAAATTCTAGCAAAAATGTTCTCCAGTGCTTAGATTTGAATTCTAAACGCGGAATCATCTGATGAAATATTCCTTGCAAAATGATTTAGAAGTCTATTGACTTATTGTATTCGGTGTAAAATTTAAATTAAAATTTTTGACTTATCATTTTAAGTGAATTTTAGATTAACTAAGAGTTTCAAGTGATATGTAGATAACCTATAACTAAAAAACGTCAGAAAATTTTAATTCTAAATGCAGAATAGCATTATCAAGCGCCATCCTAGTGAGCAAAAGGATCCTGTTGTATACAGCAATTTATATATTTTTATATATTTTGCTTATCATACTTGTTTACGAGCCATTGTTATTAATGAATGCAGGAAAATTTTGCTTCAATGATAGCAGATGCTGGGTTTCAGAAAGTTGTGTATGAAAATCTTGTTGGGGGAGTAGTAGCCATTCATTCTGGGTTGAAGTTTTGAGAGAGTTTATGGATTTTATTTTAAATTTTTATTTTCTTTTTTCATATTTTGATTTGCATGGTCTTATCAATTGATCGTTTGTGTATGATTTTTTAGCTTTTGTGCTTATATTCTCCTATGTTTGTAGTTTAAATAAAAATATTTTTATTTCTTTGCATTTATTATTTATATTATTTAAAAATATATTTAATAAGTGGAAAACTGTCAACAATCATTGTCTTATTTAGTAAGAAGTGTTTCCTCTTTAGTAAGAAGAGTTGAGTAGAGTGAATAAGGGAATGCAAGTCTTGTATTTTGTCGTGACTAATCCAAATAAAGTTTTGTGTAACTTACATCAATATATTGACTAGCAGTGTCAATGTAAATGTATTGCACCAAAACCATAAGTTTGTTTTGGTGAAAAAATATTTTTTTTTATTGAAACAATTAGTTGATCTGGTGGATTCTTAACAAAATATTATTTTCTCCTATACTTTTTGCTGATTAGTGGTCATATCTCATATTTGCACAAAAATCACAAGATGAATTATGTGTTTTAGTGAAAAGACCATTTTGCAATTTAAAATTTTTATTTTGTATTGAGACCACCAATTCAATTGGTGGTCTCAATACAAAATAAAAATTATTGTTTATTTATATAATTACTTTTTGTTGACCGTTGTTAATACGAGTTATTGTTTCTACTGCACTGAAATCGCCAACTAAGTTGGTAGTTTTAGTGCAACACTGTCTCTCCATGTCAGAACAAATATTAAATTGATAAATAATTTTGATTTGAAATTAGATTTGGAAATAGTTTTTTGGGAAAAATTATTTTTGTCAAAAATCCAAAAAATCTTATTCTTTTAAAATAATTCTGATTATGTTTGTCAAAAACAGTCTCTCTCCTAAGGGCATTTTTCGTCATTTTTATATTATATGATTTGAGATTTACATTTAGCGAGAATTTGATGAATGAAATGTAAAAATAAGTTGAAATTTATTCGGATCTATTTCGTTGGTATACTTGTCTTATAATGATCATAAGGACATTTTAGTAATTTGACATATTTAGAGTATGTATATTTTTGGGATGTGTATAGTGATTTGGAGGTGAATTAGATGTCAAGATACTTGAAGGTAGGAATCAACAATAGATCACCTCCTCTTCTATCAGTAAAAAGACATTTTGTTTCTCTATATTTCTTTCAAATTTTAGTTTCTCTTTTCAAATTTCTCTTTTAGCTTTTTATAAAAGGTTTTCACTATCCAAATTGAAGGACATATGATTGAAATTGAAGCACGAATGCAATAAGTTTCGAAATGGAATATTCAATTCACATGCTAGTTTGTATTGTATTCCGAAATTGTAGGAATGTGAAAATTATTCATAAAAAGTCCTAGTAATTGTTTTCAAAATTCCATATTATTTATTTTAGTCATACGTTTTATTCATATTTAATAGTTTTAAGTATTAAAAATTTACTTAATATACCGGCAAAAGTATCATTTACCATTCAAATACTCTTAATATTAAAAAAAAAAAAAATGAGAGAGAGAGAGAGAGAAAAATTATACAAAACTAAAATCCAATACTGTTAATATTAAAACAAGAACAAAATAAGAGAAATGATGCAAATTAAAGTTGACTAAGAGAAATGATGCATATAAAGAAATTTTGGATAAGTTTTCACTCAACTCACTCCAACAAAATTATCAAAAACTAAGAAATAGTCACCACTTTCCATTTATTTTCTTTTAAATATAAAAAAATTCAAGTTGAATATTCCTAAGTTTTAAAATTATTTACATATTTTTTACATTACAAAACAATCATTTATATTTTTAATACTTAGATTGAATCGAAGACCTAATAGGTTGGAATAATATTATAGACTACGCAACATGGATAACCCTCTCATTAGCTCACAAACCAGTGAAGCTCTTATGATATGAATGATTTGAACTAAACACCTTCCACTCACATAATAAGAAGATCAAGCAACCTATATCTGATTAGTGATGCATAACGCATTTAATAATACACCAAATAGTTTTAGTAGTTCGTAGTTTATTCATAGTTTTAAATTATTTCACTAAACATAGTTAAAATTTGGCTTATAATTAAAAATTTTAAATTATACATAATCTCATTAATTGAAATTAGTACCTGCAAAATACAAATGTCGTCTTTTTGTCTGGAGATATTATTCTTGTACATCCTAAAATAATAAGTAAATATTAAAAGTTATAAGCTTAAGATCTATGGGAATAAAGCTATGAAATGAATTATAGAACATGTCATGAGCAGATTGAAATCAAGAAGATTGAAATGAATTCTCCACTGCCAACTTAAATCTTTTGTGACGAATGAAGAACTACTCGTTGATGTGTAATTGTACTTTTAACATGCAAATTACGAACTCGATTTCACACCAATTACCCAAATATCCAACCATCTCTACTCATTTTAGATTTTTATGATTGCACTTACAACATTCTTGTATTTCTACTTCTTTTTTTTTTTTTTTTTTTTTTTTTTTCATGTGGTTAGATAAAATATTTGAATATTCGCCTAAGAATAAGTTTGATTAATTAAAAATATTTGTAAATTTTTTTTTTTTTTTTTTTTAAAGAGAGGATGTATTTAAAAATGTTGATCGCAAACCTCAAATCCTCCCATTTGTCCTGAGAAAATAACAACTATAATTGCTTATGATTTTAAACACTTATTCTTAAATGCATTTCTAAGGAAATAAAATTTAAAATTTTCTGAATGAATCATTTACAATTATTTTACGAACAAAACAATTCCAATAAATTTTTGGGTTTACTATAGTTAAAGGTCAAATCATTGAATTAAATGAGATTTTTAATTTTCTCTTAAATTTTAAATATTACTGATGAGTAACGAAAAAATTCCTTCAATATATGACTGGTTCAAACAATAATAATAAAATAAAGAAATTCAAATGTTAAGGATGAATTTGACTTACAATTTTTAGAACTCATTTTTTTATTTTTTTATTAAATAAACAAATAAGTAAATTACTAATTTTGAAATAGAGAACAATTATTTTGTGAATATCTAGTTTTATGTTTTTAGTTATTGTAAATTAAAAAAATATTAAAAAGAACACAAAATTATTAATTATGCTTTTACCATGATTTGAGCCTTAGTTACAAGGTAAAACAATTATGAGATTTTTTACTAAGCTCCATTAGACATTAATCTTTTTCTCAAATATATATAAGACTACTTTTTGAGCCAGGGAGGCCATGGCCCCTGTTGGCCACTCCCTGGTTCTGCCATTGTGTTATAGGTTGCTTTACTTATGGTGAATGATGCTTCATATTTATTAATTTAATATACTTTCTAAGGGTTGTTATTGGTTAATTTTGATAAATCATTGATCTCATATTTTATACTTGAGTCCACAACATATCAATGCATAAGAAGTCAAATGACTACTTCATTTATTTGCTGACTAATTGATATATGTGAAAAAATTAATACCTAATTTTATGTGTATATATATATATTATGTGTATTATAATATATATATATGATATATATATATATTATATATATATATATATTATTGTTAATTGGTAGTTAATATCATAGTTAAGTTGGCATTTTTTGGATTTGAATATGGATAGGATGGCGGTTAACTAAAACGAGAGTTGGGTATTTAAAATTTTGAACCAGATCGAACATTGAAAATACGATTACAACACGGTTTACGGGAAAGATTTGGAGACAATTACGGTTCGAATTTAAGTTAGGATTACGAAATTTTTTAAAAATAATAAAATTTTGATTCTGAATTAATAAAATATAATAAATTTTAAAATGTTTATTTTATTTAAAATAATAATTATATAAAATTTTAAAAAAAATTCTATTACCTATTTAGCAAATATTATTATTAATTTAAATTGTTGATTTAGATTGATAATATAGAAAACTATAAAATGGAATTAAAATTCAATGAAATGAGTTTGGAATTTATTTTAAAACCAAATAAGAATTGTTAAAAAAATAATGAAGTAAATTAATGAATGGAAAAATGTTGAGATTAGAAAGAAAGAATTTGGAATTGGATGTACGAAAATAAAAAAAATAACAATAGATAATTTCACAATATTGAAAGGAAATAAAGATAGAGAAAAATAATGAATATGGAAATTTGAGAGAATGTTTGGATTGAGAATAGAGAAGGAAGTTTATGGGAATATAATTGGTTGTAAATAAAATAATCAACCTTATCATATTTATTGTTTATATTTATTAGTTTTAACAAATTGTTCATTCATAAGAGAAAATAAAATATATTGTTTTATTACAGTAAATAAATAAATAAATGATTAAAAAATAATAAAATTTATTTACCAAAAAATAAATAAAAAACACTTATCATATAAAAAACTATTCGTTACACTTTTTTTTTATACACTTGAAAGTATTTTTTTTTTTAATAAATCAACTATTCATGTACCATTTTTTGTATACATTAAGTAAAAAAATGGGTATTTTTCACCATAAATCAAATCAATTACAATCAAATTAAGTGATATAAATTTTTCTATAAAAATTTTAAGCTACAATTTTTTTGTGCATCCGGTTCGAACTGGGCCGAAACCGCCGGTTAACCGCCGATTCCGATTCATATGAACCTCAACCGGCCCTTGAATCACCGGTTCCGATTCAAAATTATGAACCATCGATTCCGGTCGAATTCTGGTTCGTCTACAGTACGGTTCGGTCCCGATTAGAACCGAACCGGTGGCCATGCCTAGATAAAACCCTTACTTTGCAATGTTTAGTCTCTATGGCTATGTAAAAGTCTAATTTGATTTAGGGAAAATTATTATTTCATCCTTGAGGTTTTACTAAATTATTAAATAGTCCTATTGTTTGATTAAATATCCAACACATCCTTAACGTTTTGCTCCCTCATCCTAAATAGTCCTTCCTCCAGTTTTTTGTACTTTTGCCGTTAAACCATAGTAAAAGACTTTAATACCTTATTATTATTATTATTATTATTATTATTATTATCATTAAAGGGCATTCGTTGAGCATGAGCAGTATCACAACAAGTGCCCAAAAGCTAAAGCCGAGTGCTTTGGAACCATTCGTTGCATAGTAGTAATGAAACACAAGCAAAGAGGTTCTCAATTGTGTCCTTGCTGAGATGTAAACAGAGCCGGAGAAGTAAACCTGTGATGTGCATCAGGAGCCTTGTCTTTGCATCCTTGAATATAGACTCACACCAAAGCACAGTGATCGAATGAGAAAACCCCAATAGTTAAACTTTAATCTCGAGACCAAGTTGTTCGATTCATCTCGGCGATACACTTGCAAAAAGAGAGTATGAGTGTGATTAAATACGTTTGGGGTATTGAGAGAAGGCAGTGATGGTGGTGAACAACACGCTAGTCTCCCTGTTTTGGCGATGAAGGCATGGTTGGGATTAGGGAGATTTGAAAAGGCTAAAAAGGAGCTGAAGGGCATGATTGTGTAAGGGAATTCCTGAGAGCATTTGGCTTTCGGCAGTGGAGGCATACTTTGAGGCGATAGAGACCGTTAAGGGATTGTTTTTGGGTCTCTGAGGGAGATGTCAGTAAGCGCAAGAACCACTTATAAATTGACCATATCCAAGTGTGAATTGTAGTTGGCATACAAGATGTTCGATCAAATGCCGGATCGAAAGGTTGGTTTCTTGAAACTCTATCATTTGCGGTTGTTGTCAATTTAATAGGTTCAAAAGAGGTTTTGTGTTTATTGTCAATTGTTCTTGACAAGCCCTTTTGAAATTAAGGGCAAATTTGTCATTTTAAAAGATCCCTCTCACCACTCTCTTGCCTTTTCTTTTCTTGTGATTTGACGGCAAAAACACAAAAAAATGCACAGAAGGACTATTTAGGTTAACGGAGCAAAATGTCAAGGATGCTTGGATATTTAACCAAACAATAGGACTGCTTAAATAATTTGGTAAAACCTCAGGGACAAAATAATAATTTTCCCTTTGATTTACTACTTGGTCGTAAGAACTCCTAATTTGAGTCTTTCTTTTTCATTCTTGCAGCGCCTTTATGCGAGTTGTAAATTCAGGGTTTTAAGGTTTAGGGCTCCTGCTCCTCTCTGCCCTACTTTGTCATAATGGTGGGATACAATATAACTCTCTGATACATCAATTTCTCTTCCAAACCACCACCACAGCCACCGCCTCTCACCTGAATCCGCCCACTATTCAGCGTTACAGAGCCCTGTCCTCTTTGACTATCATTCACATCCTCTAACAACTCAATTCCTTCGAAGATATCGAACGACAGCGCAGCAATACAAAACGGTTAAACTGAGTAGGACTAGTGAACAGAATCGACTCACCAATACCTGTAGTAAAGGATTTAATTTGGAGGAGGAAACCTAATCCCTTGCTCCCTCTCTCTCTCTCTCTCTCTTTCCTTCGCGCCATGAAGGGGAAAACTCCAATAGCTAAACAGTTAGGCACAAAACGAGGTATCTGATTTTTGAACGATAAAAAAAAAGAGAAATTTAAAGCTATTGTTCATTCAGTTTTTTCTTTTAATCTAATATTTGAGCATGTAAAACTCTTTTCGTTGCTAATTCAACTTCATGTGTTTTGTCTCAAAATTTTTGAATTAAATATTCAACTACTAGTCCAATAAACCAAATTAAGAAAATCTATGTATTTAAGCTAAGAACTTGAACCTCCTGATATATGTGACCCAAATTATCTTTTTGAGGTAATTAAACTACTTCAATCAGGATTATAGACAGATGATATTGGTCTTTTGGTAGCAATTTAAATTTCCTTTTCCTTGAATTTGATAGCTGTAGCTTCTGAAAGTGTTTTCATTTAATATGTAGAATTGAATGTTTTCTGGTTTTATCTTGTTCTGTATACGTTTGTTGATAAATTGGAATGGAAGAGTTCTTTTTTCATTTTCTTTTGGGTAATTTGAGTAGGACAATTTTATTTTATTTTTTAATATTAATAGGAGTTAGTTATATATTATTTTTTTTTTAAAAATCAGGATTGAAGAGGCATAGAATACCAGAAAATATTGACGCAGATAAATATGTGAAAAAGAATTGGCATATTGATGAAAATGCTGCTCTGGGCACATCTCCAGTTTCTTCAGGCAAGTGTATTCTTTCTTCTAATTTTTATTTTATGAAACCAAGTTGGCTTGATTTTTTGGCTTTTTTTTTTTTTTTTGGTTCAATTACTGAGGGTTTGCAGCAAATCTAAAAAGCAATTTGATATTTTGGGACTGTTGCTAAATGCTAATTGTTTTAGATTTGCAAAGTGGTATTGATTATGATTTGCCATTATTAGCTAAACTTTTTTTTAATACAGGGGATTTATCTGATGGAGATACTGCTCCTGGAGAAGTTGTTCAAAATGAGTGTTCAATGTATGATATCTTGCTAACAACACTGAAATCATTCAATGTATGATATCTTGCTAACAACACTGAAATCATGCAACAACACTCCACCTGATGTTTACAAGAAGAGGTAAATGCCCTATTTTGTAGTGTTTTTCTTGTCTAAAGTGCATCTTGTCTTTGTCACAGTGTAAGCAGTCTAAGTTTAAAAATTTAACAAATATGTATAAATATTTGTAATAGTCAGAAAATTGGGTCTGGCTCAGTTGATACGAATGTGAGAAAAATTGAGGCAAGGGTTGTGAACTTGAAACCTAAGCCATGTCTCCTAGAAGCAAGATAGGCAAGAATGTATGATTTAAACACTGTTTTTTTTCCCTTATTTTGGTCACATTTTAAAAGGTTGAACAGAACAACTGGTATAATATTAATAACCTTCCATGGGCTAGCTTTTTGTTAAATTGAGGATGATTTGTGTTCTTTATCACTAAATGGTTTTGAGAAATTTATGAACAATAAATGAGTATATCCTTTAATTGAAAAATAGAAGAAGAGAAGAAGAAGAAGAAGAAGTAGAAGAAGGAGAAGAAGAAGAAGGGGAGAAGAAGAAGAAGGCAGGAGTGACTTTAAAGAAGAAGAAGACTCTATATCTCCTAGTGTGTCTGAGGAAGAAGATTTTTGTGAAGAAGGTAAAATAAATTTGTGGTTTTTCATAAATCTTAATCTTGAAAAGTCTTATTGGTTTTAATTTGTTATTTTACTCATATATTATACTAGCTTATCAAATATTAATGTTATTGTTATTGTTGCTGCAACTGTCATTTTTATTCTGTTTGTATTATATTTGTTCAAGGGGGTTGGTCACTAGTCCATATAATCAACTGCAGTAGTTTTTCACTCGATGCAACGTTTCTTATTAGCATTCATCAATTTTGCATCACTTATTTTTTATTTATCCTTTTTTAAAAAATCTTATTTGATTTTACTCCAAACAGATTAAAAGGGACAAATTTCAAACCTAAATAGTATAGAACTCACTTGGCAAATTACATAAATGATTTAGGATTTTTAGTTTATTTAAGGTTTAAATATAGGGAACTCATTAACTTCTCATTTAAGGTTAAATTATATGCAATAATCCCAAAGATTCATGAATGTTTCAAAACTTCTGAGAGTTTATCTTCTTCAAGTGAAGGGTTACTTGCTTGTTTATAGATTAATATAAGAACTTGGACTTCTGAATAGAAAACTGAAAAATGTGAGCTTCTAGACCATAGGATAGCTTAGTCAGGTTGTTGCTTAAGCATGGAAGCCAAAGGAAATTGACTGTAACTGACTTCTAGGTGTCTTTTTGTAAGGTGGAAGATTTAGGAATATGTTACAAAGGTAGGATGTCAATGCAGGATCCTATATCATTGCGCAGCTGACCAACATCCCTCAAAAGCTTTCCTGGAATTTTAACCTGCAATCTGTCCTGTGTCAATCAATGCTTTACAGGATAGGGAGCTTGCATTGAAGTTGCTTAAGAAGCATTTTTAAAAGCTTGATGGAAATATATAAATGAGTCCATTGAACTTCATGAGTGAGTTTTTGCCAAGGTCAAACTGTACAGGCAGACTGCCTTAGTCTGCATTTCGTCTCAAATTTATTAATGCTTAATCTGGGTCATTGAAGAATTGATTATGTAGACTAACTGATTTGCGAGCAAGTCATTTGTTACTGAGGAAGAAACCAATCTCACTATCAGATTGGCCTATCTTACTCGCTGGCAATCTAACATTGTCTGCTGCATCTTTTTTTTTTTTAAATTTTTTTTTTTTAAAAATCTACATTGTCTGCTGCATCTTATTTGTTTTTTTAAATTTTTTTTTTTTTTAAAACCAATCTCACTATCAGATTGGCCTATCTTACTCGCTGGCAATCTAACATTGTCTGCTGCATCTTTTTTTTTTTTAAATTTTTTTTTTTTAAAAAAAGAAATAGAATCATGATATTTCAAGAGGGAATAAAGAAGCTACTCATGCTTTGGTGCTGTGGATCTACTCTCAATAAGATGCTTGGGAATTTCAGAAGTAAAAAATGTATTCCTCAAACAGAATAAGACTATATAAAGTCTGTCAAAAAAATGTCATGCATTTGGGGCTTATGAAATTGCCATATGCTTAAATGATGCTGTTATTCTACCGATTCGAGGGTTTATATGGAATAATTAATCAATGGTAGAACGACAGAATGTCATGTTATAATTTGTTAAAAGAATTTATGCACTCTTCTGGACTTTTCTTTTAATTCATCGAATTTGTTCTTCTCTGTTACTCATTTATTCTGTGCATGAAGCATGGATCCTGGTTACACGTTTCCAATATAAGTTATGCTGCTCTATTTCCAATTGTGGTTTCATTCTGAAATGTCTGCCTTTGGGTTTATTTGTGTTGGCTTATAGGAACTGGTAATGAATTCTCAAGAAGTCATGTAATAGAAAGCAAACTGCGAGAGACTAGCACAGGTAGCATTGTGGACAATAATGAAGATGCTGAATCAGAGGATGATGTAGAGGAATCTGACACAGATCAAGAGCAAAACTTGGGTGTCGATGCCCAAACTATTGCCAAGGCATCATTGTCTACAAGGTACCCTTTGATGATTTTGCTCTTGATGTGTTCTTTTATTGTTTAATTTTTATTACAATCATGTCTTGAGATTGATATTGTACATATGTTAGAAATTCACACATCACAATATTGAAAGGTGATTTACTTCTCTGCGGAGATAAATTATCATCTTAGATGAACATAAATGCCTATCTTGCATAGTATAGATTTGGTGTGCAGCTTTGCTATCCAAGCGAATTTCCCCTCTTGGAGAAGGCAGAATAACCCAGAACTTTGAGAGTTGATTCTAGAATCCCAAGCAAAGGAAAATGGATCTCACCATACTAGATATTGCTTTCTCAACTTGGAGAACCTTTGATCTTATCACTTGTATATTCTTACATAAATTCAAGGTTTTTAAAAGTGAACCTTTTGCGAACCATGGACTGTTCTGTGATTGGTACTTATCATTTAAGAATCTTTTCCAGAGTGTTTGGAAAACTTTTGTTTATTTTTCCCTCTCTCTCTCCTCTGGAGTCTGTGCGAGCTGGCATCCTTGAACTCCAACAGTCCAAAAATTGTGATGGGATAAAAATATATTAGTTCGTCATTTGCATGTGCGAGACTAGTGGGGAGTGGTTATTCATTTTCCATTTCATGGATACGTTGCACTAGAACGATAATAATCAATCATATTGTCTTTAGTTAGAATTGAGTGAACATGTTAAAAGCTGTACTTTTGGTTTTCATAACTGCATCAGGTAGAGGGACAGGCCAATAAGGAGGGATGTCAGTTCCATTATGGGTTTAAGTTAGAGAGGAACCAATATGCATTCAAGTCGATATATGATTCTGCAAGGGGGTAAATATGATTTTGTTGAGATGTAAATAAGGACAAATTCAACATCCACCACCTGTTTATTTACTCCATCATTTTCTTTAACATGTAAAATACCTCTTTAAAGTAGAATTATTTTGATTGTATTTCTTGCATATTTGCTTTTGTCTTTGGTTATTATGAATTAAAATAGTGCACAGTTTTCTTGCGTAATGTAGAGTAATGTGAATTCTTTATGCAGTTCTTTTCATGAACACTTGAGCTACAAGTTATCAGAAGAAGAGGTTGATAACCTATCAAACAAAAAATGGGAATACAAATGGGATGTGCCTGCATGTGACATGCCAAATTGCAAGTGGGAAGGGACAGGGAAGTGTTTTCTAAAGGTATTCTCCATGTTTCTATCTTATATATCTTTTTTGCTTAGATATGGATTCTGAGGTCTTCTGTCTTTGTTTAAACTTTCAAATAATGCCTTTGTAAATATTTATTTCCTGAGATCAGGAAGTGATAAGCGAAGAAAGGAAGTGAATGTACAATTAGCATGGAACATCTCTCTCTCTCTCTCTCTCTCTCTCTTGTTTAACCCACATCATCACTCTTGTTGAAGTCTGTTAAATAGAGTTCACATGATTATGCTGAAATTAGGATAGTCCAAGAAATCTCGTGCATTGCAAGTTAAGCTGTGGGAAATGCAAGATAATCCAAAGTTCATGTTACTTGGGGGTCTCCCTCAAAAACCTTGTCCAGTGTTTTCATTTTGGAGCTGGCTTTATAGATATTGCAATTTTTTAATTGGCAAAAGTTCATTTATTTCATTATTTTTTCATGTTCATGTTTTGTTTATTTATTTTTATGCAGGATGATAATACCACACCTAGTTATGGTCTCAAGCAAAGATTGTATAAGCACTGGCTGGATGCTTACAAGACATCTGGAGGCAATGATTTTCATTCATCAAAGCAGAGATTTTTCTTTTCTCTTTGTAAGTTTATATATTTTTATATATCCGTGCTTGTAGTATGTGTGTTTTAATTAGAAAATTTTTGGAAAGCAGCCATTTTTTTTATTAAAGAAAATTTAGGAAAACATCCCAACTTGTTTTCCAATGTCTTCTTTAAATTTGGAAACTTAGAAAACTGTTTTCTACCTTTTATTTTAGAACATTGTACAGCATGAACATGATCTCTATTTTTCTCAGTCTCTGCAGAATTTTTTTTGAAAGCATTCATGATTTCTGTAAGTAAAAAAATCCCTTAGAATTTAGGGCTTCTTTGACTGGTTAAAGGATTAACAAAGAAAAGGATAGAATTGGCCCTTGCTCTAGATTCCTACATATCACACTGTCCTTTTGGATATCCCACTTTAGAGAAGGGGCACATCTTACCCAAAATGGTGTTGCATCTAACTCCATATGTCATAGGATAGAAACTTCATTAATTTTTTATTCCTCTCAGGATATTATTTTTAAAATGGACTTTCCAAACTTGGAGACCATCTTGGTGGTGTGTGAAAGACTAAGGTGCTTGCCTACAAGTACTTTTGTAGTGGGCAATCTTGCGTAATTTATTCTTTTAGAGTTCTGATTAATGATTGGGAGTTTATTGTTAGGAAATTAAGCCATAGAGAAAGACAAATAAAGAAATTAGAGGCTAGTGGGAGTTGCAAACAGTATCAAGAGATAGAGTTTATTGTTAGGAAATTAAGCCATAGAGAAAGACAAATAAAGAAATTAGAGGCTAGTGGGAGTTGCAAACAGTATCAAGAGATACTGTGGCAACAGGGCAAAGAAGATAAAAAGAGGAATAGAGAAACTGGATGCTTGGGCCTCAACCAAATTAAAATAGTCAAAGCTCCATTATCCAAAGCCAAAAAGAAAAAAAAAAAAGGAAAAAACTAGTTACATCCATTTTTATAGACTAATTTATAGACTAAATAATGAATCCTACCGCCACTAGGATTATGAATTCCAAACCTAGGAGATTGTAATCCAATAATAAATCAGAAGAAAGTAACTTATCGAATGTTCCATATGAGAATAACTTTTCCTCTATTGTTATGAATAAGATGGAATGGAAACAAATGACTCATATAGCCGACCCCAACTGGTTTGGATTAAGGCTTAGTTGTCATTGTTGTTGTAAATCATAGTTGATTTCTAACTCAAGACTTGAACATGCGTAGATGATAGATCATAGTGAAAGCCTAATTCATGTAGGCAAATATCTGTATGTCAAGCTTCTATTGTTAGACCAACACAATTGTGTTTTACTCATCATCCAAATGATACATGTTACACCATTGCACTGTAATTCATGTAACCACTAAAATTTTCCAAGTTCACTCAGACAATTTTCACTATACCTATGATGTAATCTTTTACTCTTCCTATCAATCATATCCAATCCCATAATGTGCACAACATCCATACAGAAGCACAAAACGTTGCAACATATTACCAGGTTTTGGATTAAATATAAGGTTTTGGATTAAATATAAAATTAAGGGTGATTTTGTCTCACAAAAGTTAGAAACAGAAATCAGCAAATCAAGAAGCCAGTTCTATAATATTGTATTATGAAGCTCCTACTTTGTTTTTGTTTGTCTGTTGGAACTCTGCTTAGTTGTGGTGCATTTGTAGCTGCCTCGTTAGCTTGCTTGTGGCCTTTGCTCACAGTGAAGAGAATTATGATCTGAGTTTACTACGTCTTGATTGCTTGTATACATTTTGTGGTTATGTGAGTAAATTGTGCCTTTTTTTACTAGGTAACAGTTACAGGGATATACTGCATTCCAATAAGAAACCATTTTATCTCAAAGGCCATCAAGAAGACTCAAGTATCTTGGATGCTTATATTATGCATTCTGTAAGTGTTCATGCCCTTTGATTCAGTGTGGAATTTGTTTTTGATGAATTTGAATGTCTTTTACTCTCATATACTGAATAAAATGAAAAATCATGCAGTTGAATCACATATTCAGGACTAGAGATCTTATAAAAAAGAATGATTCGAAAGTGGCCAAACATCAAGAGGGTGCTGATGATAAATTACTGACTGTTGATGGTCTCCGTGATCGTGGGTTTACTCGTCCAAAGGTACAGCTTAACTATTTCCTTTGACTGCTTGCTAAGCTAAGTGAGGTTTCTCATAGTATTTTAAAGCTTTTCCGTTGCAATGTCAGGTTTCTCGACTACCATTGGTATTAACAATTTGCATATACAAGCCATATATATTCACATATTTGCATATTATTTCAATCTCATGGGCCCTTATTATTTTTTTTCTGTTTAGTTTATTGTTTCTGCAAATTTATTTGGAATTTTGATATTCTCGATTTAATGGTTGGGTAGTGTTATGGAACTTTTAGTTTTCTTTTTATTGGTTGATTTATTTTTGATAAGAAAGTGAGTTAATAACTTTCAAGTCACTGTGCACTGCAGGAGTGCAATATGAAAAGGAAATATTTTTCTTCACAGAAATTTTAAAGAATTCTAAAGCTAGACTTCTTGTATCTGCTACTAATCATAAATTTGCATGTGAATACAGAATGCATACACCCCTTTGTGGGAAGACATCTGGAAGTGCAGACCATATATTTATATTCTGTTGTGTTAACTGTTTGATATTTTCTCTAATATGGTTATATTCATATTATTTTACATCTGTTGCACTTCTTTGTGGTTGTCTTTGGCTTGTCCTCAAAATAGCTGAGTTATAGGATTAAGAACCTGAAAGTCAGCAGCTTCTAGAAACACTTAGCCTTGGATCAGCCATTGATAATTTTAATTAATGATTTACCATTTGATGTTCTTCCATGAAATAATTTTTCTCACCCTAGTTGCTTAAATGAAGAAATGCATCATCTATCAAAAAGAATTAAATGCTTGAACTTTGTCCTCCTGTTTTCTTGTCAGCTCTCACTCTTTCTTAAATCAGAATACTTGCATCATTATAAGTTGGAGGAGTAAAAGTTTCGAATTTTCTAGTATATCGGACATTAGTTAGTTGTTGTTGCCTATTTTACATTGTTCTATTTATTAATATATCAAATGATTTTAAAATTCCCCTTCAAAAATTCTTTTTCTACAAAAAGTATTTCAAAAATTTTATTTATTAATATATCAAATGATTTTAAAATTCCCCTTCAAAAATTCTTTTTCTACAAAAAGTATTTCAAAAATTTTTTATTTATTAATATATCAAATGGAAATGATTTTAAAATTCCCCTTCAAAAATTCTTTTTCTACAAAAAGTATTTCAAAAATTTTCCTGACTTATACTTCCGTTGCATTGATATTAATTTGATCAAAGTGGATTGGAAACAAAGGATTCATATAACTGACCCTAACTAGTTTGGGACTAAGACTTGGTTGTTGTTGTTGTATTGTTCACATTACTAAAGCATGTTATTATTCACGGTACTTGAGCTGTTCCATTCTGTTATTGAGGTCAAAACCTGATTCTATTAAGCATGTTATTATTCATGGTCATTGAGTTCCACATTTTGGGTTTATTACATCTTTTCTGTTATTGAGGTCAAAACCTGATTCTATTAAGCATGTTATTATTCATGGTCATTGAGTTCCACATTTTGGGTTTATTACATCTTTTCTGTTATTGTGGTCAAAACCTGAGTCTATCAGATTATTTGCCTTTTCTGGTTGTGTAACTGTAACTAGAGGTGTCAACTTATTTGGTTGATGATTTAGTCCCTCAATTCTCTCTTTTCAATATTATATGTGTACTCAGTAAAACTTATTTAATGCTGAATTACAGGTTTTGATCCTTTTGCCATTCAGGAGTATAGCACATCGGGTTGTTAGGAGGCTAATACAACTAACACCTCAAAGTTACAAGGTACTATTTTTGTTTTGTATTTGTGATGAGTTCTCAAACTATGTCTATTACCAGCTTGGTTTGAAGTTGAAAACGCTTTATTTTCACCCATAAGGGGGCCTATTTACATTTCATATGAGTGTTCTCTCTTGGATTAATAAGTTTGAGTCATTAAACACTTGTGATTTTTCTTTGCATTATCTGATTCAGGGGTCTGCTGAGATTGGATATATTTTAATTTTATACTGCAATACCTTCTTTTTTTTTTGACACTTAAACTAGAATAAGTTTCCTCACCATCTTGCTTGTTTCTCTTGCATGGGAGAATTACTAAATATTATGCATTTGGGCCCTTATGAGAGGCCACAATTGTGGACTTGACATCATACCCAACCTGAAACCTGGCATCGGGTATTCAGGTTTATGTGGGTTTTCCACCTATATCTCCCTTACTTTGTTGTTCCAATGCTGAGCTTTTTCCTACCATATTTGGACTTGTTATTCCGACACTATGTACATAGACAAGCTATTTCAAGAGGCTCTTCTTTCTGTTGAAATTTCTGATACCCGTGGTCTATCCTTTTCTTTTCATTTTGCTTAAGTTTTCTGCAGATCAATCTGTTCACTACATCTAGTTCTACACAGGATTTGCTTAATAGTTTATTCAGTTTGTATGCTGTAAAAATTTTCGGTTTTGATATGTTTTTTATTTTGGTATGATATCCTTTGTTGTTAGATTTGTTTTTTTTAAGGATTATGGCTGTCACTTACTCTGTTCTCTCTCTCTCTCTTGCTGTCATTGATATGTTTTGGATGTTTGTGAGAAGTGTTGGGGGATGGTGGAAATAAGACTCAGTTGGGTTGACTCAAGTTTTCATAAAATGAATACTAATATAGTTCATTATCCAATATTCTAAATGCCTTTGCTTAAGTGGTGTTCAGCATGATCATTAGGGATGTAAAACCATGTTTGTTCTTTGTGCTTGCATGTATCATAAAATTTGTGGAAACTACAATTTGATTAGCAACAGTTTTTCAGTTGCTTGCTAAAGCACTGGAATTCACATTGCTGAATGGTGTATATAATGTTTACTCGAGTGGTAACTATTCATAGTAATTAAAGGCGCAAGGCGCGCTAAGGCACAAAGGGCCGCTGGAGCCTAGGCGCTAGCCTCAGTGAGGTGAGGCGTAAAAATAAAAAAATTATTAAAAAATATATAATACCTTCAAAAAATTGGAAAAAAGATTTCATCAATAATATAAAATATATATTGATATAATTGTAAGTTCCAATTTTGATTTTTGTAAAAATATTATGTTAGGATTTAATTGTGATTCTTGAATCTGTTTTGAATATAGTTGTAACTACATTAGCTGCAGCATGGGATCTATATAAAAAGTTGTATAGCCTCTTCTCTTTCTTCTTTATTTTCCCTATCTTCCATAATTGTCTCTTTCTTCTCTACTCTTTCTTTTCTCTAATTTTCTACCCTTTTCTTAATATCCAAACACACTCGTTAGGGTTGCTATGCTGAAATCCTAACAAAATGAGAAAAAAAATTGGCAGCATAACCCCTTATATCTGAAGATTTTGAATTAGAGAAGGGAGTAGAAGCAAGAGAGATTGAAAAAAATAGGTACATAACTGAGTTTTGACGGAGGATAGAGGGAATCTGTTGATTTTTCTTCTTCTTTTCTTCCCTTATTATTATTATTATTATTTTTTAACGTAAACATATATTATTAGAAGAGAGGAGGTGGCTAGGTCATATAATCATAAAAGGAAACCCTAGTCGATACTGCAGGGAAGAAAAATATAAAAAGCGCGCCTTTTCTGCGCCTTGCGCCTGTGCAAAGGTGCGGGCCTAGGCCCAAAAGCTCTCGCCTCATCGATGTTGCCCGCCTTTCAGTGTTTAAGGCTCTAGCCTTCGCGCCCTACGTAAAGTGCGCCTGAGGCACGCCTATGTAACTATTTGGTTTAGGTTTCTGCATTCGAATTGAAAGATTCTCTGCTTTATGATAACTCAAACAAGAATGCCTTTCTGGTCCTTCTAAAGGTGAATAATGTGACTGAAGCAGCACTTAAAGTCATTTTAACAGATGTGGGACATTAATGCCCTAAATCATTGCCCCTAGATATTCTTCCATTTTCTAATCACGCCATTGTTAGATCATCCAATTTGGACTACAGAAGTATTATTTTATTTTTTTTTCAATCCGAATACCTGATGCATATGTGCTATTTAAGTATATACGCAAAGTAGAAAAAGCTGTTGAAAGTGAACTTCAGAATCTCTACATGGTATCCAAGTTGGAGAAGTAATAGTTTGGTGGAGTTATGGAGGTCATAAAATATCTCAATAATATTTTAAGATATTAATCAGGTTATGCTTGTATTTATATTAATGGAATTGTACAAGAATGCAAATGGGCCATGTATTCTAGTATTAAAATTTTTTAAACATTATCTAGCACGTATCATTGGATATCAACTGTTAAAATAATATCATGTTGGTTTGTGCTCTTCAAGACTTGTTGCTGCCCAACCTGTAAGAAAAAATGCAGATGTTATTTTGTGCATTCAACAGAACCCCAGATTTTATGCATTCATTACTCCAAACTCAAATGCTGTTCTATATAAGATGGTTGCCTTACTCCTTTCCATTTGTACCTTTTTATTGTTTCTTGTCTGTATTGGTGCGTAGTTCTCTTTTGATTCACACTCATTGATAAAAATGTTGGAAGGGTTTCTATTTCTCTATTTCTGTTATGAATTAGAATTAGCTATACTTTTTGTCCATTTTTATAGGTCATTGTGGAGCATGCTGATCGTTTCCATAATGAGTTTGGACCACAAGATGATGACAATGTGGATCATGATGAGTCCATGCAAAATGGTGGAAATTCAAAACCTATGAAGTCTTCAAAACCGGCTGACCATCAAGCTCTTTATGGTGGAAATTCTGATGATGACTTCATGATTGGCATCAAGTTTACAAGGTAATTTTTTTTTTTTTTTTTTTTACAGTGGTGCATCATTTGAATATTTATGTATACTATCTAAGCTGTTAAATGAATTTCAGTGTTCTTACACTTAAAATGCTTCTTTTTTGGGATCTAAAATCTCATTTAGAAGTTTTTAGAATGGTTTATGCTTCTGGGGCTTTTAGGATGGTCTGTTTGAGTGGTGTCCAACTTTACTGGATAGCATGTTATCTTGGTTTCTTTCTTTCTTGTTTGCTTTTTTTTTTTTTCCTTTTTATGTTCTGCTTTCTAGTTGTCCATTGAAATAGTAGGATTCCTTGTTTTCGATGTCCATAGTGTACACTCCTTTCTTTCTACTACATCAATAAATTTTCCTTTCTTATTAAAAGAAAGGATAGTGGAGAGTTATGTATGTGGTAATAAAGTCATGAATAACATTGGATACTTTAGCAAAGATGGTGATATATATTTTACATGCAAAAATCTTTGGTTTAACTCTTACAACTTTGTGCAAGATGCAAGTATCAAAGTTATCCTGCTATGTGAAATATTCTTAGTGTAGCTATTTGTTTACATTTTATCGGATCTTTGTTTTTACAAACTTGCATCAATATTTGATGCAGTAAATTAATTTCAAGCATGCTGTAGTGTTTAGACCCCTTTAATACAATCAGGAGGGAAACTACCCTCTCGTTTTTTCTTCACCACATTAATATAGTAAAGAATGAAAAGAGAGAACATCAATTTGCACCTTTTTATCATTTATACTTTTTTTTTTATTATTTTTTTATTTTTCCTCTTTTGCTATTTCTCTTGTAGGGGGAGCATAAAGCTATACAGTGATTTCTACTCCTCCGACATGATTGTTGCCTCTCCTCTCAACTTGAATGCGGTAAGCTTGTACCCATCTTTATTCATTGCTCATAGACATTGTTCTTTTGTTCATTAAGCTTGTAACTTCTTGTTATTATTGTTATTTAAATTTAATCATGCATCTCTATAGACATATCATGTTACTTTTGATCAGAAAAAAAGAGTTTGATTGAAATGGACAAGGGTTTAGACTTTTAGAAGAAAGGCAAAAGCAAAGTATATGTCATTTTTACATAAATATGTGAAGTTAAGAACTAGAAAGGCCAATGCAAGACCTTAATTTGTTGCATCATATGTGCAAAAAATATATGCCATGTTTCCAAAGAGTCTTGCATGGCAGACAAGGGCAATAATATATGTCATGATGTCTTTCTCCACCTGAAAACATTAGGGATCAAGATTTCAATTCATTATTTTACATTGATCTATGCATGGCATTTATTTATTTATTTATTTTAATTTTCATGTGGCATGAATTATTAGTCTTACCTGCCACATGAGCAAATTCAAAATTTATTTAACTTGCAATTTGACTGGTGATAAAAATGAAACAACTTCAAATCTGATTTCACCTAAGAGTATATCAGTAATAAAATCGAAAAGAGGAAGGGTTTCTTCGTGTTAGCCTTTCTAGTTCTCAGCTCTATTTATTTATTTGTTTATTTCAGTTATTCCATGAATCAAGTCATCTTTGTTTATTATTTGAATCGCTCAAATTCAATTAGAAGGCATAAATGCAACCTGGAATTTATTAATGTTTCGTTTTGTGTAATTTTAGCTTATGTCACCAACTTTTGGAAAGATTGAGAACACTTATATCGTGCATTAAAAATAAATGAGGTAGAATTTTAAAAGAAATTTAAAAGAATCTTTTTTTAATAAAGAACTAGGTTTAATTAGAGGATTTATTGGTATGAAACATTAAAAAATTCTCTTTGAATATTGCTTTATTTTGCAATGTTATGGAGTATTTGAATGAAGAGAAAAGAGCATGTATCTTCAAAAATTTAGTTTGTTATAGTTGTTAAAGGTGTACCAACCCCTCGGACCTCAATTCCTTGATGGCGAGTTATGGTGTTGATGCACGTGGATTTTGATTCTGCAGTTTCTTTTTTCTTTTTTACAATGTATCGGAAGATCAAATCTATACTATTGATCCTACTTTCTAAATGAGATTACTGGGAAATTTAGCACAACGTATAAAAATTTATAGTTTTAATACTTAATAAGAAAATGGCAGACTGATGGAAGATAAAAGACAATAATAATAATAAAAAAAGACAGAATGACATGAAGGGGGAAATGGCCATTTATGGTTATATGCTGTAATAGGTTCGTTCTGTCTCTCCCATCTCTTTCTTTGTTCTTTTGACTTCAATTTCTTCAGCTCACCAAGCCCCAGTCATAGTCCTTTCTTTTCCTTTCTCTTGATGTTATATTACCGCAAAGTAATTCTGCTGCCTCTTGGTCCCACCTCCTGCCGCCGTCCCCCCCTCCCCCTTTCTCTTCTTTCCTTTTTGTCTCTCTGCTTACCCTGTCTATCTCTCTCTCTCTCTCTCTCTCTCTCTCTCTTTTTATGTTGTTATTTTTGTTTTTATTTTTATTTTTACACATTGTTATTAAATTATTGATGCCCATTCATTGTTCGCATGGACTGATATTAGATTTTTCATTTTGAGCAGAAACCCTCTAAACTTAGGGGATGATTTCGGTATAATTTTAATTTTATATAGTTTGTTGCAGTCAAAATAAAATGATAAATATGGAATTATGAGTGTAGGATTTGCTTAAGACTTCTAACATCTTTAGTTTTATTTTCTGTGGATTTCAGAAACATGTGTGCTAGAACTAGAATTTTATATGTTTTATGTTGTTGGTATTATCATTAATTGATTATTACCGGTCTATAGGTTTAGGTATATTTCTTACATTGCACCTCATGTTGCTTAGGGCTGTGCCTTTGCGTCGTTGAGGGAACCCATTGTGCCTTGCACCTTTAATAAATATGAAATATGTCCTTAAGTTCATTGTAGGACAAGGTGATGCCTTTGGCTTCGGGCTTATGCTGTCATGCCTTTGGAGCTCTTACTGCGTTCTTTAATTGTTATCCAAACTGATTAGAGGGCATCAATTCTTGCTCTTTTTTGTTTTTCCCTCAAATTACATACATACATATTATGTACACACACATATTCTTATTTGTAGTTCTCCATTGAGTTATATGGGAGGATCCTCTGTCTTTTATTTATTTTCGTCTCTTTCTTAATAAAATTTTCTTCTTACTAAAAAGAAAAAGTTAATCCAAGACCCTATCTGATATGGCAGTTGCTTGGATTCAATATTATAAGGATATAACTCTATTCATATGACTTTTTTTTTAAAAAAAAAAAAAAATGAGGAAAGAATGTCTTGTTTATTGTTGGAGTATGTGGGTAATCCCACGTCGGATAAATACAACTAACCAAAAGGGCATATAATGTGAAGGGTGAACCAACCAAAACGGCTTAGGCCATTTTGTGTTAAAGGTAAGCCCAACTCATTATAAGCCCAATATTAAACATATAATTGAATTTGATGTGATTAATTGCTCCTAGGGCCCAGATTCTCTATAATTGATTTGATTTATTAAATTGCTCCTAGGCCCAGATTCTCAATATTATCAGCACAAAATTTAAAAAGAAGAATTTAACAAGCTTATGTTGGATTTTAGTCTCTGGCTTGTTCCTCTCTTTTTTTTTTTTTTTTTTTTGGTGGGTGTGAGATTCTTTTGAATAGCCTTGATCTGGGTTGAAGTCACAATTTCTCAGCTCTCTTGAGCAATGTGTTTATTTGGTTAAGCGAGGTTTTTAAAATTTTTTTAATGGCATTAAGGATTGACAAAAGTTTGTATTTTGGAGTAAAACGTGTGTTAAGGTCTTGTTTAGTGCTTCCTTGTATTAGCAAAGCTTTTTAGTGGGGATAGGTGAAAATATGCTGAGGTTGAGTGTTAAATTAATCTATGTTTCTATGTATGTGTTAAATTAGATTTGAGGTAAAGTTAAGTATGCTCTAGATAGAAAGTTAAGGCAAGGTTGCAAGCTACTTATGTACTTAAATCTTGTAACTAGATCTAAATATAAGCACTAAAGAAATTAATGGTCTACCACTATAAGGTTCATTCTACAGAACCTTTTTGTATGTACTGCGTCAGTAATTCACTGCTCTATCATTTCTCAACAAATGGTGAGTTGTGGCTATAAACACATTGTACCCAGTTTTTATTTTCCTCTACTTGTTACTTTTCATTATAAACAGGAAACTTGATTTGATGGGGCCATGTATGTTATGGGGCTTCATGGGGTAGATATCCAATCTCACTTAAATATAAAAATACGCCCCCCAAGTCCCAATATCCAGCCATGTCTGTCCATGTTAATGTATGTAGGGTATGTTTTGTTGAAAAGCAAGTATGAGGAGAGGATGAAATTTTAACTTTCTCAGTTGTTTTTATTTTGGAGGAAGAGGAACTGATTGGATTTTTTTTTTTTTTTTTTTTTTTTTTTTTTTTTTTTTTTTAGTAGAAAAATAAGTGAAGGTTGTAAAATATAAAATTTATTAATGACATTTTATTCCTCTAATTTAGCACGTGGCCCAAATGTTGTGATATGGTTACTGATGAAAATGTTGATTAATCATAAAACATATCTGTATGTTCCCTTTTCTCTGTCATCTCAATTCTCCGAAAAGGGAAAAAGGAAAAAAAAAAAAAAAAGTGGGCCCAAGCTAGTAGGTTAGATATTGGTAATCTTTCCTTGGGTACATATCTGTCCAACCAAACAAGGCGAGTTGTGCGTCCTTTCTCACCTCTCCTTCTACCCCTTTCCCTCCTAGTTTTCTTTGAACCAAACATAGGTCTTTTTTGGCTATATTGATACCGATCAACAAGGGAATCCCTAATATCAAATGACAGGTACTGGAGCTCTTAAAGTTTCAATGAGGTAGCCATAGGGTCTCTTCTGAAATTTTCTGGCGCCCATTTTTCCTTTCTATACAGTAATTTTATCTAGATAGCATTGGGAGGTTGATAATTTTTGTTTAAATATTATTATGGTGGCAACTCGGACAGTTTATTTTTTGGATGTAACAGTGGCCTACTATACTTTAAAATTTTACTAAGGGATGCTATAATTTGCACTGGCTATTTTAGTTCTACTATTAATTTTTCAAATGCAAATAATTGGCAATTATCTTGTCCAATGTTTTGAAGCATGTAATTAACAGCGTGTTGTTGTTGTCAGAGAATTGAAAGTGCTATTGACAAGAACACAGACTTTGATTATCTTTCTTCTATAGAGGTAACACGTTTTTTTACTCACCAGTTTTTTTGGACTCAAGAGTATGCTATTAAATTTTAGTATCTTGTTTCTTTTTCTTTTTCGCCTATATTACAATGCTTAAAGCTAAGCTAATTGATGCATTATGCTTGATCTGAGCAGGTTCTTGTAATTGATCATGCAGATGTAATATCAATGCAGGTAAATCAAGAAATTTCTTGGTTTAATTGTATTGTTTTTGTGTCATTTCATCTATGGTTTATATATTGATTTCCTTTCTTTGCTTCCTGCTTTCGGCAAATAATATTCAGAATTGGAACTTTCTCTCTAACATTCTTCAAGAATTGAACCAAATACCTTCTAAGCAACATGGGACTGATATCATGCGCATACGAAACTGGTATGATTCTGCTCCTGTTTTGCTTTTACAAAGCTTCTTCTTTAGTGTCTACTTTCTGTAATGCTCATCTTTAATATAAGGCCAAATGATAAAAACATTTTGACTTTGTAACATTTGCAATTTTGGCTAATTCTTTTGGTTTTATCAAATTTTAAATATAATTTGATATTGGTAACAACTGTTGCAAGGCATGAATTGCAGTCAACGCGCATCTTCCTTTGCTGAGATAGCACCCACATGGCATGCTGACTTGGATGAACAATGTTTATTAAGACTTTGATTGGCAAATCAACCCGACTTTGACTGACTAAATGAGTTTTTTAACTATATTCAAGTATTTTATCATAAAATTGGAAAAAATGGTAAGGTCAATCAAATAAACAATTGTTTAATCAATATGTCTTGTGAGTTATAACTTAGCTAATGAACACACCCTTAAACCTTGATGTCAGGTGTAGAGATTGTTTCAAATGTCAATGCACTAAAAAAAAATTTTATAATTTAAGAGAATTGATCGAAATTGTTAATGCATACATAGCTTTGGATTTCTGTATCATTTGGTCATAATATGATTAATTGTTGCAGCAGCATTTTTGAAATGCTGTGTGCTTAGAAGAATGAAAAAGCTTGAATGTCATCCTTTTTGGGATTATTTAGCACGATTGCTTGAAATATATTGACCCATTAGAATTGTTTTTCATGTTTAGGTATCTGGATGGAAATGCAAGATTTTATCGTCAAACAATTATTTTGGGTCATTATGTAAACCCAGGTAATTCTCCCATTTGTTTCTTCTAGTATATGAAGGCTTTTCTTTATAGTTTTGTCTAACTCACTCCCTAAGGAAGTGGGGAAATGGAGGGCTTGGGTTTGAGTGCTTCTATGATCCATCCATTTTTCATAGTATGTTGTGATATTTTATTGCTTGTGTATATATATTGCAAGTTTTCCTATCCAAACCGATATACTTATGAATAGTTAATTCATGTTTATGTTTTGTTCTTTCAGACATTAATGCTTCATTCAATCACCAATGTCTTAACTACCAAGGGAAGGTGCGATTATTACTCTTTTTTTTTTTTTTTTTTTTTTTTTTTTTTTTTTTTTTTTTTGCTATTGCACTCTTCATGCATATCCGAGTTTTAGGATGTAGCTTTTGGGGTGTGTGGTTTTGCCTTTTATTGAGGCCTGAAAGGCTATCACTTGATAGGAATGGAGTGGAAAGTCAAGTTTCTGAGAACATGAAATAAAACTATTTTACCAGCCATATGTGATGTTGGGGGAAAATTTATAATTTGATAACTACAGTTCATGGAAGCTAGAGGTTAATGTAGCAATCAAGAAACAGACCACAGGAAGTAAAGCTCATAACAATCTAGTAGTTAAGAGGAGGCCTGAGAGGGGACCTGAGCATAAACCCAGGCCTTAGCTATCATGCCCATGAAGATGCATTGTATCACCCGTCTAAAGTTCACGTTTCTGAATGGTATAAATAGTAATGATTTTTAGCTTTAAATCATACAGTAAACACAGTGTCTATAAATTCTTGGCCTACAAGTTCTCCTGTAATTTGAGTTGAGCCATTGGATGGATTCAAACACAATAATCATGTGATTTAAAAAATCCAATATAGGAATTGATGATAATGATTCTGTTGCACTTGTTTGGCCATTACGAAACAAGCGTAACGTGAAAATTACTATAGCATACTCAAAATAACTTGAGGACCTGACACCATATGGATAATCTTTTAGATAAGTTCCAGCAGGGGATGATGCCAAATGATCATGTTTAGCTTAAATCAACTCTTCCTCCTTTCCCATTGTTTGCTTACTCTTATTTTGTTCTATTTAGTGTTCTCTTATGTTTATTTTGACTTCTCACCATCTTTACATGATTGTCAGTTGTTTGAACACAAGTGATAAGAAGAGGGGGGGGGGGGGGGAAGAAGCAGCTACCAGCATGAAGCATTGTTCAATATTAGTTGAAGTCATATGTACAATTTGCAAAAACAATAGCAACCCCTAGGAAAGCCTAATTCAATAAAAACTTGCAAGATCATAATGGTAAAACCTATATTCTACCACCCAAACTACCTCTAGAAAAACTAAAGTTAAGGCTCATATTTTCCTCTTCCTTAATTCAGTGCTTCATTTCAGAAACAGAAATTGAATTTATAAGGTCATTGGACCCAAGGTTACAATACATACTCATCAGACATCGTGGCTCATTGGAAAGTCTGGACCCAAATGACCAAGGTTAGGGAGGAAATTGCTTTTGTTTTGAGAGGTTCACTTTTGCATCTTCTATTTGAATAGAATGAAGCCCATTTCACGCTTTCTTTTGATCTATGGTTTCATATACTCCAATAGCACTAGTGACACCACCTCATGTCCAGCAATTTCCGTGGAATGCACACTGAACCAGCACCTCTGCTGCCATGAAGTTTTTAATTTTATTTTTAGCATTCAAAAGACTAGGATCGATTCTGTCGTGCTTGTTGCTTAATGCCTCGATCATTTAATTTATGCTAGGCTCTTTCTCCTTTTGTTCTGAAGCTGCAGGAAGTAATAGCATAATAAATAAATGATACATGCTTAAATTTGAAGCCCTTTAAATAGCAAATGAAGTGAAAATAATTAGAAACACAGAAGTCAACTACTAGCTGTCTGCAGGAGACTAATAAATTGAAGGGTTTTCTTTTGTTTTTTTTTTTTTTTTTTTTTTTTTCTTTTGTTTTTTTTTTTTTTTTTTTGTAATTCTGACCCTTATTCTGTGCTTCTGCCTGTGGAGGAACACATGAGCCTTGTCCATGTCCTACATTTATCCAGATAATGGTGAAATTTTTTTGCTCCATTTTGTTGGAATCTTTTGCAAATTTTGCAAGAATCATTTGCTTTCTATTATTTACAGGTAAAGTTGGTGTCCGAGTATAAAGGTGTTCTTTTAAAAGTCTTGGTCCAAGCACGACAGGTATGGCTGCTTGACTTGTTTGTTTCAATTGTTAAATTATACTGTATGCATTAATGAACTGGACAGATTGAGCTAGTATTGATGTAATTTTTTCCACGCTTATCGCTGCGTTAGTTTCAATTTGAGCCCATAATAAGACAAAAAAACTTTTAGTCTCTTAAGGTTCATTTACTATTATAATTTTTGTTCACTGTTCGAACAATATGCCTATTCTTGGTCATTGATGTCGTGAAAGATATTGAGGCACATTTAAACTTCCATGATAGAACGATTAAACCCCTGATTGGAAAATTTTTGTGGAATTCATTTGTATCTGAAATGAAAAATCAAAGGTTTGAATTCTGTGGAAATAAGCATGACTATCACAAATTTTACCTAAACATATGGAATTTCCAAATAAATTCCAAAAAAACTAAGCAACCCTAATTTTTTTGACAAGACTACCCTCTTTCCTCGTCATTTTATCTCTCAATCTCTACTCCTTTACTGTTTCTTTCTTCTCCTTTCACTATTGCCACTTCCAATCTCTATAATTTTTTTTTTTTTTTTTAAAGTCTCTGCAAATTTTGTCTTGATGGAAATCGCAAAACTTTTTTGGCAATTCAATACCACGTTTTTAACTAATCTTACTGAGTTAACTCGCTTGCTGCATGCTTTTAATTCATTCCCCTCATGCTTTTGTGTCCTTTGAAGGACTGAAGATGAGTTCTTTGAGTCTAGCTTTCAATCTTTCGCCAGTGGTTGCTTACGCAACGACCACTTCTTTTGTTAATGGGTACTTAAGATTTCATGACTGCATTGCATATAGTTCATTAGGTATTTAATGTTGGATTGTCCTATCTTATGTTAAAAAAATTGGCTATTAAATGGAGAATTTATATCTTGGAGAAATTTATATCGATTGCTGTTATTTATATTTTAATCAAAACAATAAAACCAAAAATATTATGTTGTATAGCGTAAGGCCAAATGCATAATTTGCCTGTGTTTTACATGTAAATCCTTGTGGCTCTCCTATAATTTGCGAATAACCTATTATGATGTTGTACTTTTCTATTTTTTACCTATTACATGCCTCTTTGGGGCTACCATTGCGTGTGAGTTGTACTCACCTTGAGTTGGTGAAAAAGGCTCTAATATTGCAGTAATTGTCATGAACTAATTTCCATATAATCTGAACATAGCGGCTCTAACTTTTCTTTCTCCAGTAAAATAGCTTGTTTGACATAAAAAAAAAAAAATACAAATTACATAGTTCAAAAACATACTAGGGAAAAAAATATAACCAGTTCCTGTCCTTTTCTTCCTTGAATAGCAACATCACAAGAACAAAAATGGCACCCAAGAGACAAATTACATGATTATTTCCTCCCTTATTTTGCATAAAAAAGTGCCATATACAAAGTCATTCATCAACCAAAACAGAAAAAAACACCTAAAAGATTGAAGAGGCCCACAAAACAGTGCAGACACATATACTTTCTTTTGGCAATTTAGTCAAAAAAGAAAAACCGAGTATGGAAACCCAAAAATGTCACTCGTATTTACTATTTATGTTGTTGCTGGTATTGCTTGTATCCGGTAGGAGAGCCTCTCTTCTTCATCAGATTGATAGTGTAGAGGATCTATTTTATCTCTCTCTCGCTCTCTCTCTCTCTGTATACCTTAATAACCCAAGTATAGAAAAGAACTTGAATAAGGGTCCTCTGGTCTTTATCTTAGATGCCAAGCTTGAGAAAGAGGAAGAGAACTCAAAATCCAGAAAATAAAAGAGAAAAACAAAGCAAAACTCAAAACCCACAGATAGAAAGAGGTGTTTTTAGAGAGAGAAAGAGGTATTGTGTTAAAGAACAACAAAACAAAAATAAACACAAAACAACCAATGATAAATGAAAAGCCAATTGGATTATTATTGTTGAAAGTAGGGGTGTAATTTGGACAGTATGGAACGGAATGACTCATTCAAATTCTGTTCCAAAATATTTTGAAATTTGAAATTGCAATTCATTCTATTCCAAATACTTTTTGGAATATAAAATTTTATTTCATATCATTCCATTGAAATTCATTAGTTTCAAATTTCTTAACCATAAAAACAAATCTAACATTTTAAGATGTAAATTTTAAAATTTAATAAGGAATAATCACCATATTTTTATATATACATACCAAAAAGACATAATTAAAATTTTAAAATAATAAATTAATATCACCCTTAACATTTAATAATTCAGTTCATATAATCAATATCTTAATAATTTATATATCACCCATTAACATTTATAATTCAGTTCATATAATTCAATATCTTATAATTATAATAATAATAATAATAATAAATAATAATATAAAATTCAAACAAAAGATAATACGATTTTGTATTGTGATGTATCAATATATGTAGTCACCAAATCATTAAAAAGTGCTAAATCCACAAAAAAACTATATATATATATATATATATATATATATAATAATATATTATATATGAGTTTAAGCGATTGCTAAATATTTTCAAACTATATAATGTAATAAAAAGTAAAGACATGCTATAACTTTAAAATCGAAGTTTCAACCCAAGAAAAGTATATATGGGTTATTCAAGCACATAGTATATATGTAAATTGCTAATAGGGTTGGTTAAATATTCGTATTATCTAAGTAGTTTAGAATTATTAATAGAAGTCTTTTCTTAAAAAATATGGAAAGATTAGAAATATTTTATTCTTAATCTTTAATTTAATATCTTTATTTTTAAAATATTAAAAAATTAGAAATATTTTATTCTAATCTTTAATTTAATATTTTATTTTAAAATATATAATTACAAACTAAAGAATAATAAAATAAAAATTCGGGATATGGATTGGAATGTGTAATTTTTTTTTTATTTCCATTCCATATTCCATGTACCAATATTTTAAAAAACACATTCCATTTTGAATTCTATATTCCAAATTTCCATTTCAAATTTACATTTGGTTCGGAGTTTTGATTTGAATTGGAATATTCCGATCCACGTCACACCCCCTAATTGAAAGTTAGAATCTTTTTTCCTTTTCTTTTCTGGGTTTTTCTTCTCTAAACAAAAAAGCAACAAAATTTATTTAAAATAAAAAAAAGGAAAAGAAAATATAGAAGAATACCAAAGTTGCCAGGTTTGATGGTTTAAGACTCTTCCATCGCGCGTGCTTTTTCACTTTCCCGTTCTAGCGTGGCAAGGTATGTAATCGATACAAAGTAGAAAAGTAAAAGGTCATAATAGTGCACAAAGTTTTTTATCTAAATACAGGGGCCCAAATTATGAATTTGGCCTATAGCATAAATATAATTATGTTGTATAACACAACCAAAAATACACATCCACCTAAAATACATGTGCACACACAAACACGATTAATGAGCACTGATGTACACATTGCAATAATACTTGAGTGCATTATCAGCTTATTAGATTCTTTGGCAGATTTCTGTTACTTTCCCCTAATGATTTAGTGTAGTTACATTGTTTATTCAAATCTTTTGTCAGCTTGTTTGTTCTTGCGTTGGCATGATAATTCTTCGACTAATGATGCGTGTGTGCAGTTTGATTTATGAGCGATATTTTATGCTTCCCTATTTTATGTAAATGACTTATTTTATGAGCGATAATTCTTCACTATTGTTGTGTATGTAAATGACTTATTTTATGCTTCCCTATGTAGGTTTATGAGCGATATGATGCAAAGTCAATGCCGGATGCAGATGATGCTCGTCTTGAATATTTCATTAAGAAGGTTCCTCTCTTAACTTTGAAGTAGTTGTTTAGATTTATACATCTGATACTCATTGAAAAAATAATTGATCGTGATTTTGAACCTGTTCTTTCCATGAATCCTCTTAACTAACTAAGACAAGAGATCCAAACTTAAAGTAGGAATCAATTTGATTCTACAATACATATTGATTGGGTAGATCGGGAATGGTTCATGACAAAAACTAGTAAATCTCATTTCATTATAACCTAAATAATAATTTCATACAGTTTGCAATTATAGCCAATCTTTTTAATTTTATCTGTCATATGCATTTGCATTGGTTTTAATTATAACCAACTCAGAGTGGAATATTTTAAAACTCTCAAGTTGTACATGAATTGACAGAACGAGTCAACAAAATTAGGGAGAATTTCTAGAAACTGATGTTCTTTGGATTCTTTTTCCCCCCTAAAAATGCGGTTCTAACCATCCCTTCTAGTCTTGCTTGGGTCCTAATAATATTCTTTCATAGACCATGGTCGACAGAAATCCTATTCTTTCTAGCTTCCAAATCAGCCATAAACTTGATAAGGGAAATTAGTAATCTTGATGAGAAGGAAGAGGTAACATTATTTTATAATGAGGGTAATAGGGGAGGTCAGGGAGGAGACCTCTACATCATTTTATTCGAAATAATTTTCTTGAAGGCTAAAGTTTAAGTTTTTTATGGCTAAAAGGAGTGTTAGATCTGTTGGAAAATTTGAGATGAGGATTGGTTTTAGTTTTCTCAAAAACAAAACAAATGCTTCCGCCTCAACACATAACAAAAGAAAAGTTGAAGATGAAGAAAAAAACACACGAATCATTATTCAAAACAAATGATCTACAACATATAAAACAAAGACTTTTTCCTTCTTCATCTTTCTAACTCTCTGTCTGTCCATCTCTCTTAGCTCTGTTCAGCTCTCTCTCTCTCTCTCGCTTTCTCTTTCTCTCTTTCGAAGCAGATCCCTTTATAGGAAGAAAATGTTTTCTACTCAACAACTACTACTTACCGAACAAGACGTAACCATATATCTTCTTTCCATAAAACAAGGACTTCTATCCTTTTTAACTAAGACAAATTATAACAAAATATGTCAGCAAAATCTCATGTCTTCAACAATATGACCATAAAATAACAAATATGCAAAACAAGAGAATTTTATGTGAAGCCAAGATTGATAGGATTGTTTTAAAGGATGTCATAGAGTTGATAGAGTTGAAGAGAGCTTAGTTTAGTCTGCTTCTATAAATCTATTCAAAGTCAGTTGATAAAGGGCTTTCATTGTATAATATGAATTTTTCCAGTCAATAATAATTCGGGTTCATGGCTGGAATTATTTAAGGAGGGAAATTGTTACAACTTAAAAGAAGCATAATGGGGACAGTCAATATCTGTTGGATTTGAATGGCTTTCTTTTAAGCCCACCTGCAAAGGTGTTTGAGGGTCATGTTTTGAAAGTGTTTGGGGAAGTTATGAAAAGTTCAAGTCCTACCTTAAAAAGTCACATACAAACAATTAATTATATGATTTCTTTTTTAAGATTGAAGATAAACATCACATGGACAAAGTGGGTGTTTATGTCAGAATCTTCTGATGGGCGCAAATTTTTAATGTAGTGTTGATACCTCATGAGGTTACAGATCCTATATGAATGTTTGGAAGGTTATTTATATAAGCTTAATATGGAGAAATTTGCTTTTAAGAATTTTTTGGGTGATTGGAACAAACCTGCTTTCTCATTTGCCATAGTCAGATACCGAGTGTAATGATGATTTTCTTTATGCAGGTGTTTCCAAAGATTAAAGATTCTACCCAGGTTCTTTTTCTTTTTCCCTTTTGCAAATCAGATATGTTAATTTTCATACAGCCACACTTTGAGAATTCATTATGGAAACTTTTTTGCAGGGAGGAATCATGCTATTTATCAGTTCTTACTTTGAATATGTTAGACTCCGCAACTATTTGAAGTCACAGAATGCATCTTTTTGTGCAATTGCAGAGTAAGAAGAACTCTTTCTTGCATGTATTTATTGTTTTTAGGTTTAATGATAATAACAGCCTGAATCTTTATGTGAATTTTCAACTGCACCCAAATTTTTAGAAATGAATGATTGCTTCCTAAATTTGATAAACTAGTTTCAATTGGACTTGATAATTAAAAGTTGGAAAAAAGAAAAAGTATGTATATATTAATACTAATCTAAATAAAAATATTTTTTATAGATTTTCCTTTTCCACCCTTTCTCTTCCATAATCACCTCTCCCTCTGTTTAAATGGTTAAAAACTGTGATTTTTATGAGTTTTCATGTCAGAAAATGTTTGATACAATGATAAAAACTTTATTGATCACAAATTCAGAGAGGAGAGAGAAATGGAATGCTAGTGAAGAAGAAGAATAAAATACTTAAATTAGTATTAAAATAATTTTTTTTTTCTTTCTATTTTTATATGTTGGGTAGAATTGTAAATGACTTGTTAGATTCAGGATGCAATGGAGCATCTTTAAAAGATTTGGTACAATTAGAATCCATGCTAGGTGTCCCCAACACCCCCCCCCCTCCCATTAGGCTCTATTTAAGGACATTTTTCTAGAAAACCATTAGTCTTGCTGAGATGTAAATTCCCACAGCATCGTAGTAATATTTTTAGCTTTTTTCTTTAGCTACACTAAATTGAGTGTGAATGTTGGTGATAATGGACTTGTTAGATTCAGGATTGCAAATGGAGCAGTCTTTAAAAGATTTGGTACAATAGAATCCATGCTTAGGGTGTCCCCCACAACAACCCCCCTCCATGATGCCAGAGAGAAAGTTTTCGTGAAGACATTTTTCTAGAAAACCATTAGTCTTGCTGAGATGTAAATTCCCACAGCATCGTAGTAATATTTTTAGCTTTTTTCTTTAGCTACACTAAACCGGAGGATATATCTCGTGCACGAGTTTGGTTTTTTGAAGGAAAGAAGAAGATTTTGCTTTATACTGAGAGAAGGCATTTCAGCTCCAGATATAAGGTTCTCTTGACCTGATTCCTTTATTAAATGTCTTGTTACTTTTGTTACACCTCTAACAGCTGGTTCAATTTGTCTTCTCTCATACAAGAATATTGTTTCCAGATATTTAAATCAGTAATTAGATATCATGTAACTGTAACTCTTTTCTATATTCTGATGACTAGATTCGCGGCATTCAAAGTTTGATAATCTATTCTCTTCCCGAGAGAAAGGAGTTCTACCCTGAGGTGAGGAGTTCTACCCTGAGGTGAGTGCCGGCATAGCTATCAAAAAGATATGGGTTTCACTGTCATTTTCTTTCTTGATGTTATGGAACTCCTGTTTGACCTGGAATCTTTCTACTGCATGTAGGTGGTTAACATGCTTGAAGGGGCCCAAAACATGACATGCACTGTGCTTTTTTCTCAATTCGATCTGCTTCGGGTAAAAGCTTCTTTCTCTTTCTTTTCTTTTCTATAGCATGCTTGGGATTGGACGGAAACTAGTAGCTTATACTTCCCAAACTTCCTTATAATCTAAATTTATGTATTGATTTGTCTTTTTATGTTGCAAAATTAGAGTTTGAGTCAATTATGAGAAAGTAAATAGCATACATTTGCACATTATTCAAGTTGACAAAAGTCTACATATGTGCAGAGCAAACACCTATGTTCGATAGGAGAATACATTTACGCAAGCAATAATCATTGGTATTAAATCTTAAAACCTTTACAATACCAATCCTCATAAAACCTCAAGAATACCATACCTTTCATAAGCACTTGTATTATCACAAGCTTAAATGTTAAAGCTTCTACAAATAACTTCCAGTTTTTGAGTTAACCTCATTCCTTTTCATTCAGGATAGTAAAAACTAAAATTAATGTCTCTAGCTTGGATCAATTTTCCCTAAATTAAAAGATTTACCTAATCCACCCAGCGTAGGCAACTTTTCTCAGTATATTTTGCTACCAATTGTATACTGCTATATTTTCGTGCGTCATTCATTCCATATTTCAGGTCAAACAGATATGGATCAGTATTTCACATGTGTGTGATACAACGATTTTGCTTAGAATCATAATTAGTAAAAAGCTCAATATTGCGAGCCTTTAGATATATGATTGTTCTAGATGTGATAGATCCAGCAGTTGTTTTGCAAAAATGTGAGTTACAGAAATTACCGAGCTGTGTAGAAAAAAGTTTTAACTTTTGCTGGTATAACTTTATTCTAATTGATGTGTGTGCACCTGCATGTGTACCAGTGACTAATTATGATGGAGAATAAACCAGAGCTTATGTTCTTCAGTAAGAAATTAAGAAACATGCCATTAGAGACTGTTCAATAAAATCTTGAAAAAATTTGTATTCATTACCACTTCAAGCATTTAGGAACAGAGGTAGTATTAGAGAACCATGAAACCTGACATTTAAAGATTTTCTTGTTGAAACAAGTTCCACATTTTGTAGAATTGCTTTACGAGTCTATATTTTCAAAACTAGTGCTTGTAAATAAAAATGCGCTTAAAATTTTTTTCCTTCTTGTTTCTATCGAATTGGTTGTCTGAATCAAATTCTACTGGAATAAATAAAATTTGCCAATGGAACTCCAAACTTAGAAAGGATATAAGCCACTAAAGTTAAAGGTTCTAGATACAAGCTAATAAAGATATATATTTAAAATGAATTCAATGATAGATTTACATACGTTAACTTATTTGCAAATGAATTTTTTTAATGAAATTCATGTGAAAGAAAATATATTCCACAGATTTATTTCAAACGCTATCTGAGTGTTTGACTCTCTCTGCCTGCCATTTCCTCAAGTTCTTAGACTGTGACATCGGTGAACTCGTCATTTATTCATTTTTGCTTCTCTCTCTGATTCATTGCATTTAATATATTTGTTTATTATGCTGGGATGCCTTAGCTGAAGAGAATTGTCGGATCAGAGTACGCAAGAAAGATGGTCAGATCAGAAAAGAATGTATTTTTATTCCATTAGTTGTCGTCAGGTTCAGAACATCCACAACTGCAACATTGAAGAATCGGCAGGACGGGTAAATCAAAACAATTGTTTACTAACAACTTTACTGGCAAAAGAATTGAATGGAAAGCAGAGTTAGATTAAAACACAAAAATGAGTATGATGATAAATTGATAACAGTAATTTAAGAGACGCTTTACCTATCCGAAAGATGTTATCTAAAAAGAATAATATTAAGTTTGGATTCAAAGGTTTGAAATATTTGATTTTTGTTTAAATTGTTCACAGGAATGTAAAGCATTGTTCCATTAAAATGGATATCTAACAATGCATCTTTATTGGACATTTGTATTAGAAAACGCGAATTCAATGCAGGATATTGTATGAGTTCAGAACACAATTGAACTAAAGATTTTGGTTGGAGTAGTTTATTTTTTCTCTAGCTTTATTTATTTATTTATTTATTTTTTTAAACGGCGGAATGATTGAAGATGGATGATTAGCCATTGCATGCCTATTTATATTGATGAAAGACTCTCATATCATCGTTACTCTCTTCTGTTGGCTGGCTCTTATTCTTTTTTTTTTTTTTTTTTTCTGTGGCTCTTATTCTTTTTTTTTTTTTTTTTTTTTTCCTTAGTTGCAAGCCGCTGCTATTTCGGCGAGAAGGATCCAACACAACCACCGCTATACTTATCACCTAAATAAGTTCAAGACGCGCTTTACAAAAATAAGTTCCAACATTCCTATTTTTCTTTTTTTCACAAAATTTTGAATTTTCTTTTAAATTTTATTTTATTTTGATTGGACTTTAATATTCCTATTTAATAGATAAATATATAATTACGTAGTTTGAAATTTTTAATTTTTTCCTTATCTATATTTCTATATCAATTCAGTTTTAATCCATTTAACCTAAATATTTTCAATTATCCACAAATTTAGAATAGAATCCAATAAAACACAAAATTTCTTCTTTTACTTTTCAGTATTACAGTTTCTATATAATACTGCAGCAGAGTCTGCGCATTCACACTTCCGTCTCAGTATTACAGTTTCTCTCATTACTTGCCTCAAATATACTATGAACTATATGTTTTATCATTGTAGCTAAATAATAACAGCTGCGCGTAATGGGGAGCGGGTAATCATTTTAATGGTGTTCTTTATATTTTTCTTCCTCAATTCTTTAGTTCTCTCCTCAATTCTTTAGTTCTCCAACTTAAACATCAATTTCCGTTGTTACTTATTTTTTCAAAATGTTTGTTTAATAGTTTTTATTAGTATTTTGTTTATCAGAAAAGATTTTTGGCTCATGATCCGGACCATAGGTGGTTTTGGCCATGTCATGAGTAGTTTTAGAATGTCCAATGTCAATATTACCCTTATTAAATATTGTGTTTTGAAAATTGAAAATTGAATTTAAAATGTGTATATTTACTCATTTATTCTTGAGAACCACATTAAAGTGTCATTATAAAATGTGTGGGGTTAGATGACATTAAATGCAATAGGAAAAATGTTAAACATGCAAACATTATTATTAATTATCTTTAAACATCATATTTCCATTCTATATATACTTGGAACTAAATTAAATCACTTGATTTAGTCAAATTTGAAATTCTATTCAATTGGGAAACCCTGATTAAATTAAATTAAATTAAATTACACCTAGTCATACTTGAGAATAAATTAAATCAAGATATTCTAATTGAATAAAATTAAGTCACCCTTGCTTATGTCACATTTAAAATTTTGATAATAAGTCACCGTCATTCTTATTAGTTATTTTCAGTTTTAAACTACTTTCAATTCAATTTCATTTTTTAAATGCAATATCTTAATTCAATTATATCTAATGTACTTTATATTGAAAGATTATTTTCTCTTTTGATATATATATATATATATATATAGAATATATAGTATATCATATACTTAATATAACCTAATCATTTAATTTTACTTTAAAACATTTACATTGCTTTACTGAGACTGAGAGGCAGAATTTGTGTGACACCATGTTAAAGCAACACCAACACGACCTACTTATGTTTTCAAAACTGTATGGTTCCACTTTCATATTGTCAACCAATGAATATGATGGATGAAAATATAAATTTTAAAATTTCTATATCTTTGAAAAAAAAAAAAAAAAAAAAAAAAAAAAAAAAAAAAAAAAAACTCTAACCGACACAAACATCTAGGCAATGCCTCTTGCATCCAGTATTAATATTTATTAGCATTTATAGCCCATACACCCAGTCGATTTATAAAAAAAATTATGACTATTTTGTTACTATGTCATTCTTTCTTCCGTGGAGAAAAAAAAAAAAAATACTCATAAATTTAATTGGTCTAATTATAAAAAAATTCTGAACTTTGAACGTTTTAACCGATTTAATCAATTTTTTTAATTTTATCAATTACTATAGAATATTTATTTTTTAGTAACAATTGTGATCTCTTTCAGACTCCGTTAGAAAAAGGTTGATATGTCCGTTAAATACTGATAACACAGCAGCTGACTGGGATTTCCACTAAGCACTAACAATGCCAACACCCCCCCCCCCAACCCCTGTAAAACAAATACGATGCTCGTTTTTAGCATAGAACATCTCAACCCTCAACCTTAACAACAAAACGTCGCCCCTCCCATCTTATCTCCCCCCCCCCCCCAACCCCTGTAAAACAAAACGATGTCGTTTTTAGCAGACATCTCAACCCTCAACCTTAACAACAAAACGTCGCCGCCTCCATCTATCTCCCCTAAATCTGAACCAGAAAAATGACGCCGTCTTCTTCATCTCTCTAAACCCCAATCGAAAACGATGTCGCTCTCCCAATGTCAACAGCTGCTGTCGACATTCCCTTTTCCTCTCTCAAATCCCTAAAAATGATTCTCTAGAACCTTTTATCCCTTTTCATGTTGAAGAAAGCGTCATATAATATAAACAAAGGTTGGTGGACCTCCATTCTTGTGAAGTGAAGACAAAGGACTGTGGAAACAAAGCTGGTGGTTGGGGAAAAAATAATTTTGGCGGACATTCATCAAAGCTTGCACCATATCTGAGGTATTCCAGTGCATAAATTTTTTAGATTAAGTGTAGTTACTATAGTTTATTAATTTTTTTAGGTTAAGAGTAGTTTATTCCAGTGCATTCGTATGACCGGGAGTCTCTAAACGTTGCGCTGAATATTTCACCATAACTGAGGTTTTAGGGTAATGGGTATAAAAAACATGTTTGAGATAACAAAAGAAAAGTGACATTTGTATATGAGAGCAACTCATTCAAACTGTTAATGCATGCTTATTTATGAAACAGATATGGATGAATATTTGACCATTCGATTGTGGCATGGTGGCATCATACAAATTGATTTTGAAACTCCTTATGTTGGTGGGCTGCCTATTTTCTTTGATAATTGTGACCCTGACAAGATGTCATTAATTGAGATAAAGGGTTTGGGTAAGGAATGTTGGTACATAGATGGTGTAAAAATTGCTCTTCAAGTCCCAAACATAGCAGGACCTGGTTCCATAAGGTTGATGAATAATGATATAGATGTGTTAGAGATGGCTGAATATGGCAGAAAAAATTATTTTGTAAACATTTATGTGGAGGCGATTGATGATAGTAATCAGGGAGAAAATGATGTAGTAGGTAATTTGCAAGAAGGTCATAATCAGAATTTGTAGGAAGTTAATGCTGAAGGGAGTGATTTTCATAGGGTGAATGTGAGGGAAGGAAAGGACATTGATTTGCATAGTGTCAATGTGGGAAAAGGAGATGACACTTCCTCTAAGGATTTTGATTATGTGCCTGCTGAAGAAAGCTTATCAAGTTCTGAAGAAGAAATTTCCACTGAAGATGAAGAATATCATTTGGCAAGGAGGAATAGAAAGAATGAAAGAATTACAAACATGGTTTTCTGCAGGAAAAAGATGTTGGTGAGAATATAGTTCCAAGAAACAATGTGACTGTTGATCAAGTGCGATCTTCTGTGAATGAAGGAAATAGTGGCTATATAAGTGTTTATGACGAGACAGGTGAAGATGTGATTACACCTCATAGTAGTGATAGTGAGGTTGAAAGGAATAGGTTAATAAAGTGAAGGAGGAAGATTATTTATGACCCTCAATGTGATTATTCTAAGCTGAAGTTTACACAGGTCTTGAACAATTTAAATCTGCTGTCCAAGAGTTTGCAATTGCAAATGGGTTCAATGTGAGATGGTCTAGAAGTTGTTTTGAGAGGGCAGATACTAGGTGTGTGCAAGGTTGCCCTTGGAGTGTATATGTTGTTGAGCTACAAAGGGAGAAGAATTTTGTTGTCAAAACTCACAATGATGTACACAAATGTTTCAGGAGCCTAACAAATAGACAAGCAACTGCAAAATGGATTGCAACTAAGTTTCTCCCCAGATTTAGAAAGAAACATGAATGGGAAGCAATACAAGATGAGTTGAAAGAGAGGTATGGTCTTACAGTTAATTTGATGATGTGCTATCATTCCAAAAAGAAAGCTCAAGAAATGGTCAGGGGGTCTATTGAGGAACATTATGCAATGTTAAGATCATATGATGCTGAATTGCATCAAGCTGATACAAATAGGAGGTTTGAGTTTTATTTTGAACAAGGTTCAGTTGGTGTTTTTAAAAGGTATTATGTTGGATTCTCATGCCTTGTGAAATCATTTAAAAGAAGATGTAGGCCCATTATTGAGCTTGATGGATGCTTTTTGAAGACAAGATTAGGTGGGATTTTATTGAGTGCAATAGGTAGAGACCCAAATAATCAAATGTACCCAATAGCTTGGGCTGTGGTGGAGATTGAATCTCAAGTAACTTAGACTTAAGTCCTTTGAAGTTCTGTTTGAAGAATTGGGCTTAGGTGATGGGTCAATAACTTTAGACTTAAAAGTCCTTGAAGTTCTTTGTTGAAGAATTGGGCTATAGATTAGAATGAAGATATAAGATAGACATCTCAGGGAGAGACTCAAAAGAAATTTAGATATCTTATAGGACATAATATACATATATAAAGAATTTTGGACTTATATATATAGATAGAACATCAGACATTATTAAGAAGAATATAGACAATTGAGATAGTGAATAAACTAATAATATATAAGATTTAGGATTCTCATGCCTTGTGAAATCATTTAAAAGAAGATGTAGGCCCATTATTGAGCTTGATGGATGCTTTTTGAAGACAAGATTAGGTGGGATTTTATTGAGTGCAATAGGTAGAGACCCAAATAATCAAATGTACCCAATAGCTTGGGCTGTGGTGGAGATTGAATCTCAAGTAACTTAGACTTAAGTCCTTTGAAGTTCTGTTTGAAGAATTGGGCTTAGGTGATGGGCTTGGTTGGACTTTTGTAAGTGACCAACAAAAGGTAATTTGTTCTTTAGGGCTTTATTTCATTGCATTTTGGACTTTTCTTGTGCTGCATTTTGGTATGAGCTTGAAACTGTGTATTATTTTGTCCTTGCCAACAGGGTCTTATCAATGCCATTCAAGAACTAGCTCCTTTTCTAAACATAGGAACTGCGCAAGGCATATTTATGCAAATTGGAAGAAGACTTACAAGGGTGAAGCTTTCAAGAAATTGTTTTGGCGAGCTGGAAGAGCAATATATGTTGCAGAATTTAGGAGTGTAATGAAGGAACTCAAGGAATTAAGTGTCACTGCACATGATGCATTAATGAAGCAGAATCTTGAGAAATTTTGTAAATGCTACATTAATGCACTACCTAACTGTGATATGATCGAGAATAACTTATCTGAGACATTCAATGGGTACATTATCAATGCAAGACGTTTACCTATTATAGACATGTTAGAGGGAATTAGGAGTGTCTTAATGGAAAGGATGTATTTAAAGAGGAATTTGACGCCAAATTCTAGTGATGAAATCCCACCAAGAGTAAGAACAAAACTGGAAAAGGTGAAGCTGGAACCTAGGTACTGCACCCCTAAGCCAACAGTTGGAGAGACATTTCAAGTGGCTATGGGCCAGGATGCTTTTGTAGTAGACTTAAATGGAAAAACATGTTCATGCGGGTTTTGGGATTTAATTGGGATCCCCTGCTGCCATGCCCTTTAATGTATCAATTACATGAAATATGATGAACTTCAACTCATTGATGGTTACTTGAAGAAGGATACATATTTGAAGTGTTATGAAGATGGTTTGAAGCCATTAAATGGGAGAAAAATGTGGCCTGAGGTGATGTTAGATCCAATCAAGCCACCAAAATATGAGAAAAAAGCTGGTAGACCTTAGAAGGAAAGGGCAAAGGCTGCAGATGAAACCCCAAAGGCCAATGGCAAGTTGCCTCGTACTTGTTCCCAAATGACATGCCAATTTTGCATGCAATATGGCCATAATAAGAGGAGTTGCAAGATGCCAAATACAGCTGCAACAACAACCTCACAGTCACAACAGGTTGTCAACATTTAACTTGTACCTAACATACTTTGTTGCTTAACTTAGATTAGCTGATGGTGCTTGTGAATTTTATGCAGGTCAAAAAAAGAGGTAGACCCCCAAAAGTACCTGTCCCTGTTGCTACAATTGAATCTCAACTGCCAGTAAGTATTGGTATTTAAAAATGCTTCAATCTCATGATTCCTTCTCCATATGTATTTAAACTTTGAAAATGTGAAATGATTATGTCAGGAAAAAAGAGGCAGACCTCCTAAAGCACCAAATCTACAATAGCAGCCTTCTATCTCCATAGCAGATGTTGTGCCTAATGCAAACAGAGTAAAAACCACAGCAGCAATTGCAGCAAAAGATAGGGCAACTGTGAGTAGGCTTCACCTTTTGTATATTTGCAATGCTGAGTTTAATTTAATTTCAATTATGTTGTGAATTTGTAGGCTTCAAAAAGGTATGGATGCTGTGTTTCAACTGAGACTGGCAGATTGTATTTTCAGGTACAGTTTCATATCTTAATACTGTGATCCCTTGATTTGCAAACATAGCAGTTCATGTTTTGATTTGCAAAAGAATGTTGATCATTTTATATTCACGTTTCCATAGGAACCTATTACCAATGCAGCCAAATTTGTTAGTGGAAGTAGAGTTGATGCAAGAAGAATTTGTCAGAGCAAAGGGAAGGAACCTGCAATAATTTCTCAGAAAAAGGGGAAAGAACCTGCAACAACTTCTCAAAGAAAGGGGAAGGAACCTGCAACAGTTTGTCCGAGGAAGGGGAAGGAACAAGCTGCTATAAGAGCAACTCAAGCTAGGAAACTAGGAGGCCTTGTTATTGGCAGCCAAGAATTAGCTATTACTGAGTAGTACTTTAGGAATGTATGTTTGCAGCTTAGGCATTTTTTGTAAGGTTTGATGTTATTTTTGGATTCTCATATCAAGCCTTAATGTAAGACCAAGATCATGTGTGACCTTACAATTTGTTTAATTTTGATGCCAAGTGTGTTACAAACAGATTTGATTTTCACTCACATTTACACTTAATGAGAAGCTCAGTTGATTGTTTACATACATTTGTATGTTATGAATGCCAATTTTCTTAGAGGACTCTATTTTTGGAAGCAATTATTTACAAAAGAAACACAACAAATGAACTGGACAAATTTATGAACTCATTAAGTCAATTTCCATTGTTCACATTCCAACCTAAAAGCAGATGCAAGCTAATTAAACATGACAAGTAACATTGCCAGCAAACAAACAATACACATTAAACCCAGCTTCTCCCTGTAATCTAGCTTAACCATTTCCATCTTCATTGAACTAATCTCACTCTGCAAGGCTTGGTTTTGTGCTTTAAAGTCTACCAAATCATCTTTTCTCTTTTTACATGTTTGCTCCAACTGTGCTATCTTTTCTACATTTAGCTCGTCCTTCTCCTTCATTAACTTGATTTGCTGCTCCAGTGACTGCTATTAGAAATCGTAGTACTTCCTCATCACGTGGGAGACTTTCAAGGTCAAACCACTTAAAAAACCCACAATCTTTATCTCTATCCTGTAAGAAACAAAATTCATAAACATACACAACCATTCCAGAAACCAAAAATCACAAAATGACTTCAAATAATACATAATCGCATCAAGTGTACACTGCTTTGCCTTCCAATATGAATAATAAAAGAAACGCCCTCCTGGATTACGAGAACTCCATGATGTATACAATCTAGCCTGGAGATTGTGCCTGCAAACCACTCTCGCCCTCGAGCTCACAGTTATTTCTGTCGCTTGGCTCATTTCAATTCCATTCATCGAGGCCATCTGTGTTGAAGAGAATGGATTAGTAGAAAGATCAATTTGAAGTCACAATTATTACTAAAACATAGGTATCATACATTCATCGATAAAATTAAAAGAATTGGTTAAATCTATTAAAATGTTCAAAGTTCAGGATTTTTTTATCATTAGGCCTATTTAATTTATGAGTGAAGATTATTTAATTTATGCTCCAATAATTATATAATCAAGGAAAATTAAAGGAGTTCTTGAATTTTATATTTATAGCTATATCAAACAATTATCTTTTTTTTTTTTTAAAAAAAAAGAAAAATATACAATCCTTTGAATTTATCAATTATCCATTCAATTTCATTTTTTATTTTTACTATTTCTTAGAGAAAAAGTCCATATATATTTGAATTGAAAACCTGATTTTTATCCCCCTGAATTAGGTGCTTTTAAACGAAAGTAAATTTTCATTTGGATTTATCAAATCTTTTCTCATAATGGGTAATTGAAAATTACATTTTTTTTTTTTTGACATTATTGTTTAGGTATTTAAGTGGAAAGTGTATAAATATCTCATAAAAATAGCTTGAGAGACCTTGCAGCCATGAAAGCTGCACTCTTGGCTATAATTTTCATATTAATATCTGCTATTGTTTTCTTTACCATGAAACCAGCCCACATACTGAAAAGGAACTTATTAGTTATTCCTAAATATCATGTGCATATTGTCAACGACCTGGACAATGATATCCTCAATGTACAATGCAAATCTAAGGATACCAATTTGGGATTTCATTCGCTCGGTAAAGGTGAAGCCTTTGAGTTTCATTTTCGCGTCAACTTTATGGGATCGACCAAATTTTGGTGCACATTCAACTGGGGACCTGGTCATGGAGGCGAGTATAAAGTATTCTGGTATGGCATAGGTCTTGCCCATAAGTGCATTTTCAGTGATTGCTCATGGTTTGCAAGAGATGATGCATTATATCTAAAGAATAAAGAAGCTAATCTGGATGAGAAATATTATTATTGGCAATCATGATATTTTATCCTTATGATCTTTTTTTAGCTATTTCTATTATTTAATCACTTGTTCACGTAAAAATGTATGTTTATTTTCATTTTATCAAATTTAAGAGTTAGAAACTCGTATTATGTAACATGTTATGCAATTTGTGGAGTGAATTAGATGTAACAGATTAACATTTTCTTTATATTTCATGGTTGTTATTTGCATATTTTATGAACATTGAAAATTCAAAATCAATCAAGTTTAAATTTTTTTTGTTTAATAGAATTTCATTTCGTACAACTTTCTTTTCATTTTAATACTAATAATCATACAATAATATTTACTCAACTGATTGTTTTCATAAAATCACAGTATATTCTACAATGATATAATTTATAATTATTATAATGTCAAAATTATTTTACGATGCATCACTTATATAGTTAAATTTGTATTTTTTTTTTCCAGTTTTGATTAATAAATACAGATTTTTCAGAGTATTTTATCGAAGGTTCTATTTCAGTTTCGTAAATTATTTTTTGAAGAGTATTCTTTTCAGTTTTGATTAATGATTACAGATTGTTTGTCTTCTCTCTTTTTTTTTAGAGTGATTTTTATGTAGAACGTAAAGATCTAGGGTTAAGGATTTCCTAAAGAGTAAAGATTATAAATTTTATTGATTAATTGATTGGGTATACATTTAGCACATTCTCAGTTTAGTCATTTGAGGTAGTGTTAGATTTATTTTTATTTTTTTTATAAAGTTGAACATGGTAAAAATAAAACGACAAAATTTCTTCCAAACGTCAGACACCCAAGGAGATGGATTACATCAATCATATGTCTTTATTTTGAAATTAACTCCTCCGGAAATTGATTATTCTAAACTCGGATATATTTTATTAAAACTAATTTTTTAAATAAATATATGCAAATCATTAGTTCTTTTAAAGTTTAAAGTTTTAATTTATTTAAATAAATATATGTAATAATACGGCATTTGAAAATTTTTTAAATTTTTAACTTTTTCAAATTTATCTTTTAAATATTTGATTTTATTATTTTATTGTGATTTAAAAAGATTTTATTTTAGGAAAGGGATAAAGCAAAGAAAAAAATATTTCTTTTTATGTTAATATTCTTTTTTTCTTTATATTTGTGTAATTTATTTGGATATATTTTTTAAAAATAAATTTTCAAATAGAAGTACTTACATAATTAAGCTTTTCAATTTGATTTGTTGTTAACATTTAATTTGAACAAGTAAATTTAAAAGAATGATAATTTTTAAACAATGAGAGTTTGGCAAAATAATTACGTTTCAATATTATCCTAATTCTATTCTATTATTAAATTTTTTTTCCATTATTTTTTTTAAAAATTACAATAGTAGAATAAAAGTAATTATTTTTAATAATTTCTAATATGATATTTCATATTGGTTTAGTGTTCAGCATCATGTGATTTTCAACTATTCTAAGATTTTAGCTGATGAGGTGCTTCTTTTGAATAGAAATTACTATTAATTTTATTAATTGTAGTTTAATAGTTTACTCATCATGTCATGAAGAAACTTTTAGTTACCAGTATGGTATTTACTATTTACACCTATGTTTAGTGCTTACTCTTGCTTGGCCAATTAATAAGAAGACATTAAATAAGAAGACAATGAAACTTAAAATTTTAATATGTTAAATTAATATTTTAAATTTTTAATATCAAGGATGGCGTTATTGGCAGAGCTATTATTGTTAAAGGCAGAGCAAAAATTTTTGTGCTGACACAATTTTCTTTTTCTTGCGCTATCTTTTATTTACATCTCATATTCAAAAGATAATATGTGTTATTTTTATAGTATTTTTAATATAATTTTTATTAGGATTTTTAATATTTTTATTAATTTAATTAGTTTTTATTTAGTTTTATTTATATTTTTGTTTAAAATTTCATTGAATCACATTTCACTTGATCTTGGGGAATTTTGCAGCATTTCTATAAGAAACCAACCAAAAATACAGAAAAAAATGTTCCTAAGTTCAGAATCTAGCTTGCCCTGAGCGTGTCATCTAGCACCCTCGTACTGTGTTGAATTGAACAGAGACTCAAAAGCTAGCACGCCCAAGCCGTGTCAAAGAGCATGCCCGTGCTACAAGAGGTTGTCGATCCTTGAGCGTGCTCACTCCAGCACGGCCCGTGCTGCAATTACCTTGAAGTCCCCAGACCCAAGCACACCCAAGTCGTGCCAAAGAGCACGCCCAAGCTGCAAGTAACTGTCGATCCTTGAGCATGCTCATCCAAGCGCGGCCCATGCTGCAACCACCTCAAGGACTCAGTTCCTAGCACGCCCAGACTGTGCCAGATAGCACACCCGTGTTGAAGACCAGATTTTTCCTTGAGGCCAAAAACGTCAATTCTAGCCCATGCCTCTTGCATGGATGCATGGACCCGCATGAGATGCTTTTCTGATGTACCAATCAAGTAAATCCTATTTAGACATTGAAAGAGTCCTAATTGGGAGGAAATACAAAGTCTAAACAGTTTTCTATCTCAAGAAGATTTCTTACTCAGTAGGAGATCCACTCTCTTAAAGGAACACGAAGATATTTTCAGAAAGTATGATTGAGGGCGATTTTCATATTCCATCTTTTGTTCTATTAATTTTTATGTAGTTTTCTCTCTCAAGACTTCAAGTGCTAAAGATTTGTGTCAAGATTCAAGCCGTTCAAGCTTATTGCCGACTAGTTTTTATTCTAAACTATCTTTTTGTTTGTTATTCTTTATGTGATTATTTACAAATTCAATTGAATTTTATTTAATTACTATATTGAACTAAACTCTCATACTAGAGATTTGATGTAGCTTAATTTCGATTTCAATTTATAATCTTTTATGCTTTGTTGATTCTTTATGTGATTAATTACCAAAACTTTCAATTGAATTTATTTAAATACGTAATATATTGAATTAAACTCCTCATACTAGAGATTTATGTAGCTTTCGAATCTTCGATTTCAAATTTTTAATTATTAAGATTGTTTTTTCTTTGTTCAAAGTATAATTTATTATTGAACTTAATGCTTGGTCTAGACAGAGTTTTTTCCATATAAAGTGTGGACTTGCTCTTTCACGCCACTATACAGTCCACATTCGATTTCAATTTATAATATTAGATTTGTTTTTCTTTGTTCAAAGTATAATTTATTATTGAACTTAATGCTTCTAGACAGAGTTTTTCCCCTGAATTGATTTATTTCATTAATCACTATCGGAAAAGGGTGTTTGATATGAAAAATGTAATAAATTACATGGAAATAATAACTTGATGCGGAAGCTATATGGGGGTTTTCATAAATTAATGACCTTAGGTAATGAATTTATAAACAAACCATAAAACTTAATGATTTAATTCATGTTTGATTGCATTATTGGAAGATATGTGATTAGACCGAGTTAAAATAACTAACAATATATCGGGAGAGCTTGTTAGTGATTTTAGGGTTATTTCCCCTACTTGAACAATTAAAACTAATTATCAAATTAATAAAATAAATTGGATAGAATTAAGTGAAATCAAAATCCGTAGTAGCTTTTAATCTTGGTTTCTTTTCATCGAATTGTCTTGCTTGCTTTTTTTTATTTTATTTTATTCTCTTTTACTTATTTAGATTTTCTTTAAAATAATTCTCCTTATTGTAGTCTAAATAATAGTAAGTTAACACAATTTTAGTACTTAGTATACAATTCTTGTGGGACGATACTCTACTCATTTTTTATTACTTATCGCGATTTCGTGCACTTGCAAAAAAGCCTGTCAAAAGACTCGAGCATGAATCATCATTGCATTCAATATCATTATATATCAAGCGAGGTATTACATAAGAATTATAATTACAATTCAATTAGAAATTGTATTAAATTACCACTTTATTATAGAGTACTGTGTGTTTAATTTTTATAGAAAAAATCAATAATAAAAAAATTTATATTTCTTTGACTATAGGGTTTAGTATTATTTTACGTTAAGGAATTTTTTTCTTATTATTCTATTTCTTAATTTTAGAGGTATTATTTTGTTTGAGTTATTATTATTATTATTTTTGCTTTTAATTTCAATCATAAATATAAAATTATAATCAAAAATAAAAAAAAAATTAAATGAAACGAATACAAACAACTTGCAACCTATGAAAAAACTAGTTTCCCTAAATATCCTAATTCAGAAGTGGGCAACACCTACGTTCTGACTTGTGTTTCAATTTCGGCCTCAAAGCTTGTAAACAAACTTAGCAGTCCATTTAGACTCCAAGCCGCCTCTTTCTTGCGTATCCTCTTCCATTTCTGTGGCCATTTTTAGATTTCTGTGACCCATTGAGACTCGACTCATCTCGACTTTGACTATTTTTCTTTTGAGGAACGACGAGAGGCCTTTACCCTGCCCGGATTTCCCCAAGTCACCCGATTAATATATATTAGTATTTTTATTAAAAAATTAATATATTTTTGCATATTACATATTTAAGCATTATAATTTTAAGAAATATTTATTTTTGATAAAGATTTTAATTATTGTAGATTTTATTTTGAAATTTGTTTCCATCAATTTCCAATTAAAGAAATATTTAATTATTGATGCATATTACTAATTACTAATTAGTATGTTTGTTTATTCTAAAAAAAATTAGCATATTTGTTTTATTTATCACATTAGAATATAAATAATAGATTCTCGTTAGTTAGTTATATATATATAAAAGGATTAATTATATAAAAATAATTATATCTTTAATAGTGAATATACATTTAACAACCATTATAAAAAAATTTAGAATTTCACGTCTCTTAAGAAAACTATTAAATTTATTAAGTTACAAAATTGACTATATTACTCTTAACTTAATACTAATTCTCTAAAAAAACCATTATGTTAAAATAATAATTATTATTTATATACAAAAGGTAAATATGAAAAAAAAAATATTTATTAATTCTTAAAACTATAAGGTAAATATGAAAAAAAAAATATTTATTAATTCTTAAAACTATAAATATAATAAGTATTTTAGAATAAATTATTTTTTCAAATATGACAGCTCTTATATTATCACTTACTAGTTAGCACAAATAACTAAACTAACGGATTGATCATGTTTTCATAACTGTTTTTCATAAAAATTAATAATTATATGAATTAAATTTTTTCATGAAAAGCTAAAAGCTAAGACTATGTTTACTCACAAAAAACAAATTTATATTTTCTATTTTCTGTTTTTTAAGAAAACAGCTTTCTTTAAAAATGAAAATTAAAAATTAAAATTAAAAAATAGAAAATGCGTTAACAATATAAAAATCATATTTTAATTTATTTTAATTTAAAAACTCCACGAACATTATTCATAATTTACATAATGAAAATAAAATATTATAAACTAACTTTAGATATCCTTTATTTAAAATTTTTAAATTTTATTATTGATTATTTATATTTATTTAAAATTTTTAAATTTTTATTATTGGATTTATTTATAATTATAATAATATAATAATAATAATAATAATAATATCAATTTTTATTATTTTGTAAAATTTTTTTAAAAAAATAAAAAGGTATATATCTGCCAATAACAAAAATCACATTTTAATAGTTAAAGCATAATATAATGTTTTAAATTTTTTATTATTTTGTAAAATTTTTTAAAAAATAAAAGGTATAATATCTGCAATAACAAAATCAATTTTATATTAAAGCATAATATAATGTTTTATGTTATTTAAATATTTTTATTTATTTAATAAAAATATTTTATAAAAAATTATTTATAGATACTATAACATCAATTATGAAAACATCATTTTATAAAATAGAAAACAATTGAAAAATGTCTTTTGTTTTAAAGAGAAACCGTGAATAATAACTTAAAGCTGTTTTTCAAATTTTAATTAAATTTTAAAAAACTGAAAAACTGATTTCTAATGTTCCAAATAAAAATGAACACAAAACTCTATTTTTCAATTAAAAATATTTTTTTAGAAAGCCACTCCGGCTTTCTATAAGTAAACACACCCTAAATGTTACATGAGTTAACTATTAAAGCTGATGCCCAACACATGCTAAGTTATTAAAATTATGTCTTACGTTTCTGATTCATTAAAAAAGATATTAAGCACATAAAAGTTGAATTATTACAAGCTTTGCAACTAATATATCTTTGCAATTAAAAAAGATATTATGCACATAAATACTAGTACAACTATATATTTAAAAATTAGTTGTATAAAATTGATGCAAACATTAATAAGCCATTTATAAATGAATTCATTTGCAAAAAAATTGTTTACAGATGAAAAGACATTCACAAAAATTTATTCTGATGAGAATCTTAAGTGATATGAATTTTACAAAATATTTCCAAAAATTCAGTTATAAATATTCCAATCGCTAAATAATTGATATATTCAGAATTTCACATTCTTCCTTCTAATTGAAAAGTATGCCAAGAGGTTATTCAATGCACAAAAACAAATCATCCAGTCTTTTGTAATCACTGCCCAAAGAGGTTATTCAAGACCCAAATTCGCGATCCGAGATATTTAGATCAAAATGGGGTAACTTGACTAATCCTATAAGCTTGAAAGGTCTCTACACATCAATGAATCAGAAACCCTAAGAAATGGCTCTACACATCAACTAATCAAAAACCTTCCACCATGAAATTAATCACACATAAGAGGCACAGTTGCTAATAAAATTTAAAAAAAATTAAAAAAAGCATTTTAGGAAGAAATGTTAATATTTTACCAATAGACATTTTAAGTAATATAGGAAGTGTTCTCTAATTCAAAATTCTTAATCTGATCTAAATCCAATCCACCAACTCCAGCAAAACAAAACAGAGAGACAAAATAAAGCACATAAAAAAAGAGTAACTTAGCATATTCTCTAATCAAAGAGAGAGAATCCCATATCATCATCACTCTCTTCCGCTGGTTCTTCCTTCTTCTTTTCCTCAGCAGCAGGTGCTTCAGCTGCTGGTGCTGCGCCTCCAGCTGGAGCTGCAGCAGCAGCTCCTCCACCAATAAAAGCTCCGCCGCCGCCACCACCAATTATCACCTGCTCCAAACAACATATGCACAGTACCAGATCAGGAATAAAACATATGACAAACAGTGACAATTTCACTTTCTATCAAGGAAATCAATTAAAAAAACATTCATAAATGTAACAAAATGATTAAGAAATAAATTTAAGTCGGCGTTTATATCTACAAAAATGCTACCACTGAAACAGAAGAAATGCTCTTGCTGCTACAAATACATCCAAAATATGAACTCTAGTAACAATTTCACTTCCAATCAATCAAATCAACGATATACAAAACGACGAGTAATATTATCTAGAGAGAGCAAAGGAGATTTCAAGACCTGAAAAACGGCCGAAGAAGGGGTGATTGTAGAGAAAGAAGACTGGACACCGCCGGAGGAGTCGGAAGAGAGAGCGGTCTGTACAAGCTTTCTCTGCAGATCATAGGTGGAAGAAGCGGAAGCCTCGAGATCACCACCAGCGATCTGCTTAGCGGACCACTCGCCACCGGATTGACGGCAAACAAATGTGAATACTCCCATGGTTCTAGGGTTTCTGATAATATCCTTCTCCCAAAACAGAAAAATCCTATCACAGGAAGAAGATGAGGCTTTAACTGCCTTGTTAAGTAGAATTTATACGAAGGAGAATCCAGGTGGCTCGTTGAAACCCTAGGGTTCTTCCCAAGAGACAGACTTGTCCCTTGCATTTTTTCTGAATACCAAAAATGACCTTGTACATGTGCAAACTAGGCAATAGGCATGGCCACAGATTCCACTTAAACCAGAATCAAACCGCAATATTCATGAACCAGAACTATGATTTAGTGTCAGTTCAAAATAAAAATTGAATTTTACAAACCGGTTAAGACTCATGTTAACGTCAAAAAATAAGCTCAAATTGACTCAAAACCACGGTTTCACCAAAAATCAGTCTAATTTACTCTGGTTCAAATTGAGATTTGTATTTTCATTTTGAAAATTTTTGTAATCACTTGGTCTATTCTGTGGCTAACTACAAGTCTAAATAAATATGACATAGTCGTGATATAAAAAACTAAAAACTCAAACCTGTGAGATGGGATGACAGCGATTCTTTCTCCTTTAATTTGAAATCTCGAGTTCGAATTCTAAGTATAGAGTCTCTTTAAACATTCGGGATAAAGCGTTTTACCCCCCTTTGCCCGATTACCGAATGATTAAAATTAAAAAAAAAAAAACTCAAAGCTCAAAGAAATGAAAGTAGCAAAAAGAAAATATAAATACTTAGTTCAATTTTTTTTTTTTGGTACATATGGGAGTTTAAGAACATTTTTTTCCTTTCAAAGTTTTTTAAACTTAGTGCAAAATTACATTGTTTGAAATATGTTTTCTAATAATTTATTTAATCAATAATTTTTACACAAAATAAAATCATTATTTATTTGATTATTTTTCATTTGTTTGCAAAATTAATGAATCTCATTTTTTATAAAAGTATAAGTATTTTAAAAGTTATTTTAAAATAAAATTTAAATTAATTTTTTCTAGAAAATTAAAAAAAAAAAAAAAAAAAAAAAAAAAAAAAAAATTTGTTTGCAAATAATGAATCCTCATTTTTTATAAAAGTATAGTATTTAAAAGTTATTTTAAAAAATAAAATTTAAAATTAATTTTGTTCTAGAAACTTAAAAAAAAAAAAAAAAAAAAAGAAAAAAAAAAAAAAACACGAAAACGAGGAGGGGGAGGGGCTGTGGACACGAATCGGGAAAGTGAGAAAGGAAGAACGGGGATGGGGATTTTTTAAAAAAACGAAAACAGGAGGGGGAGGGGCTGTGACACGATCGGGAGTGAAAGGAGAACGGGGATGGGGATTTTTTTTGTATTTTTAGGTTTCTAGAATTTTCTCATTGGTTGTTGGGGTTTGGGTCGATTTGAGTCTGATTTGGCTCAAATCATGGTTTTAGCTTGGTTTTTTAATTGATTTTTCAAGGGGTTAAGCAAATATAAAATATATTTGCAATAAATTTGTTAAATAAATTCACAATACATTAATTTTATTATTTTTAAATATAATATGTCCTATAATATAATTGGTTAGAATTTATATTTAAATTTTTAAATGAAAATTTTTTAAAATAATTTTCCGGATTGTTTCAAGTTCATGCAAAAAATGAGTCACCCATTTATGAACACGAATATAAATATATCGTGTCGTGGGTTGACACACGGATTAAACGAGTGACTAATTTATTTAAGAGTAAATAGTTAATTTTAGTATTAGATATAAATATTCCAATTAAAACTTATTTAAATTTTATTGTTGTATTAATTTTTTATTTTAGTTATGAATCTTGAAGAATTTATGCATTTTATGTGTGAATTTATTTTTAATATAATTGAAGTTAAATAGGTTAAAATTTAAAAATACTATAGGCAGGTTAACTGGGTTGTATATAGGTCAACACGACTCACTTAACATGTTTATGATATTAAACGGATCACAGAAGTTGTATATGAGTCAACACGATCCACTTAACATGTTTATGATATTAGGCGGGATAAACGTGTCGTGCTCATGTTACCTGCTTAATTTTGTGTCGTTATTATAAAAAATTATTTTATTTTTTAATATTGCTCCACGCATCACATGGGTTCTAAAACTAGTAGATATTAATAAACATGATATTAATAAAGTTATATACTCTATATTTTTGTTTGATTTTGTCAAACAAATCTTAATTATCTTTGTTGTATTTTTCATATTTCTGTATATGTGAAACAATAAAGTAAGGTAACAAAATAAAAGATAAATTTTAATGTGCTAATTATCATTATTTATGCTTATAATTTTTTTAAAACATATTGATTCAATTATTTTTTTCAATAAATTTTATTTTTGAACGATCTTTTAAAGGGTCAAATATTGAAATTTATGCTTATAATTTTATTTTATTTTATTACTTTTTTTACTTCTATAATATATTGTATGTAAAAAAATTAAATTACGAATATGGACAATGAATACATGTGCAACGAACATTCATAAAAGCTAGTGATTCTATATTTATAAATTCATTAACAACAACAAAAAAAGAAAAGAAAAAGAATAGGTATTATTATTTTCAAGTAATAATATTTTAGAAGCAAAATAAGAATCTATTACTAGAAATAGAGAATCAACATTAATATCCAAACAACAACTATAAGATATGAAGAAAATCTTTATCAGTAAATGTAATTCAGCACACGCGTGGCATAACATTTTAAATAATAATAATAGGTTTCTAACTCTTAAATTTGATAAAATAAAATAAACATTCCAAGTGATTAACTAATTTTGAAACACAGGTTTAAATTATTGTGGAATATAAATTGATGAACTTTGGCTATTTTTGCATTTTAGACAATTATTTTAATTTCAGCAATTGATGTAGTGAATTATTTTTTTGGTTCTAATGATAGCCTCTATCTTGTGTCTGACTGTCCGTTATGAAATTATTGATGTTGCGGTTAATGGATTTTACCTGTTGACACGTTAGTGGCACATCAAAAGTCCAAACTTTGAACGTTTTCATAATTTCACCCTTTTTTTTTTTTTTTTTTTTTTTTTTTTTTTTTTTTTTTTTTTTTTTTTTTTTTTTTTTTTTTGAAAATGTCATATGAGTTGTTTTATAGTACTTGCACGTACACACGTAGTACATAATTAAACCCCTATCAGTTTACCATGTAAAATTTATTGTTTAATTATTAATAACTAATTTACTGAAAAAAACAAGAATTTAATTTCAAAATACTAAAATGACATTATAAAATACAAATACGTTAATTTTATTTTTCATTTAAGCTAAATGACAGAAAAGAGTCTCAACTTAAATTTGAAAATATAACTTAAATTTTGAAGATTTGAAGATTTGAAAATATGATTTTCATTTCATTTATATTTGATAATTTTGAATTAAAAAAATAAATTGTAGCAATCCAAAATAATTTATTTTTAAAATAAATAATTGTAAAATTAAATATTTTCAAAAATTTTAAAGAGAGAAAAAAATCATAGCATCAATTGGCAAATTAAAAAAAAATGGCTAAAACTATAAAAACAAGCAAATTTCGTGTTTTTTTTTAGTTATTTAGCAATTTTTTTAACGTGGCATGATAATATGGTGCTAATGTACCAAAATGTGAACCCATTAATGACAATTTTAGCAATTTCTAATGGATATAGGACGAAGGTTATAATTACAGTAATAAAATAAGGTTATCTCATCAATCGCTACAACTAAAAGAATGGGTTAATATTTATTTTTTTTATCATTTAGCCAAAAAAATGAAAGTATTATCTTAAGTAAAAATTTACGTAATTCAAGAATTAGAACATTTATATTTTGAAAACGAAATAACTCACCTATATTAATTGGATTCTTCTACTCCACAAATATTTCTAAAATCAAACAAATAATCGTCATTAAAGAAACTTTAGAAAAAAAAAAAAAAAAAAAAAATGATTCCATATTCAATCCAACAAATTAAGTCCCATAAAAAAAAAAAAAAAAAAAAAAAACCTATGATTCCATAATTCAATCCAACAAATTAAGTCCCATAAAAAGCTAAACAAATTATATTTGGTGCACAGTTAATATTTTGAGGCAAAATAAATATTTAGGTTTCTTTGCGTTTATATTTTATTGAAAAAATAATTAAAGATAAAATAATATTTTTTTATATAAAATAATCTTTCAAAGCAATGCAAAAAGTAAAGTAAAATAAGATTATTTATTTATTTTGAAAAAAATAAACTGAAGCTAAACAATAAAATTGAATTCAAAGCAGTTCAAAAATTTTAAAAATTAAGATAATTGGATAAGATTTATCAAATTTACAATGGCTTTATATTGATAATAATACCCATGAACGAAAAATTAAGCGTCTTTTTTGTTTAGAGCACACAATTAAAATATCGAAGATGTTGCAATGGCTTGAAGAACTTGATCTGGGTTTCGCAAAAAGGTTCAGTGAATGTCTACATTTGTTTGATGAGATGGATGTAGAGAGACCAATGGCCAACGAAAAAAGAGTATTGAATTGTAATTAAAGTTTCTCACAACAGCCTTATATATAATTTATAATAATTATTGGTTTCTATTCTTAATAATTATAAATATCTTTGGTGCAGGTAGAGTTTACAAAACTCGTTGGCTTTTACTGGCTTGGATATCAGTGGCACTTAAAGTTAACTTTTTCGCGTTTACAGATAATTCACTTAGTTATTACTTTGCATCCCCCAAAAATGCTTTTTCAATGATCAACCTCCAGTTGCTGATTTTCGTTAATGGTGGACTAGCATTCTGTTTGTATTTTGTTGGTCCGATTACTAAGTACCATGTCATCGGATCTGCTGGAAAATTTATAATGCTTGGTATTAGTTTATGCGGTGTTATAATTTTAAAACAGTTGGTGGAGGATATCAAGTACTGCTATGCTTTAATTTCGTTAAACGTGGAGCTTCAAGTATACAGAGAATTACTATTTAATTCAAAGGATTATGGGTCATGGGATGTGTTATTTTTGATTACTTTGCAGATAATTATTGTGAATTTAATTAAAGATGGGAATTTGTGGGTTTTTATACCTACATTTCTACTTTGGAGGCTTATAAATCATAGGTACAAATCTAATCCTTCCTGCTTCAAATCAAAGCAATTCTAATTGGAGGTATTGTAGTTTTGATGGATGTAAGTTTTCAATGTTAATGCTTTTTCTTTATATTTTGCATAAATTGCTAGTTTTACGATTTTGTTTTCTCTTTCTTTTCGTCTTCTTCTTCTCTATTCAGATTATAGAAATTAAACTATTACCCATTCAAAATTTAATATTATGTTTATAAGTTGTTATTACCTTATATTTAAATTTAAATTCCAAATTTATCCAAATGAAATCACATAAAAACTAGAATTATAATTGGTATATACAAGTACTTATAAATCTGTAAAAGATATTTAATATGGTTTGCATGACCTTTATTCGTATGGAGGATTTCTAATAGATTATGCATGACTAGTAATTATTATTATGATGAATTGTCAATTTTTAAACTTCCTAAACTTAAATTTTATAATATTAATCTCCCTCTGGTCATAATCTGGTGATGAACCAAATCGGAACAATGACAATGACGAGGCAAGAATCATTTAGAAGAAAATAAATATATTATTGTTAAGTCTGCAATGACTTGAAGAATTTGAGCTGCGTTTCGTAGAAGGGTTTAATGAATGTACACATTTCATTGATGAGATGGATTTAGAGAGACCAACGGCCAACGGAAAAAGAGTATTTAATTGTAATTAAAGTTTTTCACAACAACCTTATATATAATTATTACCATGAAAGATGGCAATTTGTTATACCTACATTTCTACTTTGGAGGCTTATATATAAATCATAAGTGCAAATCTAATCCTTCCTGCTTCAAATCAAATGATAAGATGGCCTATTTGTCTAAATAACCTCCATTTCTAACTTTGGTATACCTACATTTCTACTTTGGAGGCTTATATATAAATCATAAGTGCAAATCTAATCCTTCCTGCTTCAAATCAAAGCAAGTCTAATTAGGGATATTGCAGTTTTGAGGGATGTCAGTTTTCAATGTTATGCTCCTTTTTGTTATGCAACTTTTCAATGTTAATGCATAACAAATCTTGTTATGATTAATTAGAAATATATTGCAATTAAAAATTATATTACAATTTATCAAAAAAAAAAGAAAGTTATTATTTAAACAACTATTCAGTTTTAATGGGCACAAAATAATTAAAAATTTTTAATTGGAAATTTTAGAGAAAGTAACAAATTACAGTCCAATCTTGATTGCTCTTCTACAACAATTCTTGTAAATAAGACAAAAAAAACTTACCATGAGTTCTAATTCTATTTACTATTTAATAGCCAAAAATGTATAAATTCACTTATGTGGTATTCTTCAAAAATTTTGTTACAGTTAGTGAATAAAATTAAACCCATTAAATCAGTAAACACAGCAATTTCTAACGGATATAGGACGGAGGCTATAATTACAACAATAAAATAAGTTCACACCATCAATCGTTAAAATTTAAAGTATTCGATTAAATTTGTTTTTTAAAAAAAAAACTAACTCTATTAATTAGACCCTTCTTCATAAATATTTCTAAAATCAAACAAATAATCCTCATTAAATAAAATTAAAAAAATTACCTATTGATTCCATTATTCAATCCAACAAATTAAGTCCCATAAAAAGCTAAACAAATTATATTTGGTGCCGAACAGTACACAGTGCACAATTAACACTTCCACCTTCAAAAGCTCAGTAAATATTTTTGTATTTATTTTGAAAAAAAAAAAAAAAAAAAAAAAAAAAAACTGAAGGTGAACAATGAAATTAAATTCAAAGCAGTTGAAAAATTTTGAAAATCAAGGAAAAATAAGGGATGAATTATCTCGATTTGATTGAATTCAAATCGGGGTTAACTTCCTTTTAAAGCACCTAATTTTGGGGGATACTTAGCAAGTTTCCTGATCATCAAACATGATATGACATAAGCATGAGATATTTCACTTGTCTAACTAAAATGCAACGACAACCTCGTTGATACACACCAATGCAAAAAAAAACCTCATTAATATTTGGAAAATCTTTTTTTTTTTTAATTGCAATTGCAAAATATTTCAAAATTTAAAAGTTAATTTCATTCTATTCTGTTTTTTTTTTTTTTTTTTTTTTTTTTTTTTTTTTTTTTTTTTTTTTTTAATGAAGGTTAAAAAATGAAATTAAATTCAAAGAGTTTCAAATTTTGAAAATTAAGATAATCGGATAAGATTTTATCAAAGTTGGCATCTCTTTATATTGAATAATAACTTCAAAAATAGACGCATAATTTATTTTTGTAATCATGAGAATTCAATCTTCCCTTGCAACTTTTGACATCTAACATTGTTTAATGTTTATTTTATTCGCCAGTTTCGACCCAACCCACGAAACAAAACCAATACTCATAAAGAATTTATATTCCTCTCGTATATCATGTGGCATATATCAATGAGCTAATCGCAATGACTCCTCAAGTTACATTGCAAATCTGAGAATGATGATTGGGATTCCATACACTCGCTAAAGGTGAAGTCTTTGAGTTTCATTTTCGTTGTGGATTTTTTTGGAGCTACTAAGTTTGGTGTACATTCAATGGGGAGCTAATCATGGAGGTGAATATAGATATTTTGGTACGGGCATAGGCCTTTCCCATTAAATGCAATTTCAGTGCTGCAACTTGGTTGCCAGAGATGAACGCATATAACTTGTAAATGATAAGAAACTAATTGAAGACGAGAAAAATATACGCCTTGGCCAAATCATGATTATATTCTTGTAGTCTCTCCTTAGTTCTACATTTGCGTATCAATTTGCATGATAAAGGATATGTTTATGCTCATGTTATGAATGTGGATTTAGCTATCTTACTATTTTCAATAAAAAAACAATTTATATTCGGAAAATTCTATTATAGATAGATAACTTTAGCAATTTTAATATGTCAATTTGATTTGTGTTCTCACTTCTGTAATAACTTAATAAAAAAAAAAAAAAAAAAAAAAAAAGAGCCTAAAAGCCAAAGACAAAATATTAATTCTGCTATTACTGCTTGGCATTACTGATATTAGTTTTAGGATTATTTGTTATTTGTTGTTGCTGTCGTCTTAGCTGCTTATTAAATTGTTTATCTTGTTTCGTGAAAAGGAAATTGTGGTAGGGTAAAAAAAAAGTATTTATGAGTTTAATTAAAATTGATATTTGAAATAGTAGGGGTCGCTAAAATATTTTAAATTCATTTTTGAATAATAAAATTAAAATTAAAAGAAACAATATCAGAACACAAAATGCACCTGCAGAGAAAGAGTTCTTGAGTTTAATCTCCACTAAATGCATATGCAGGGAGGGACAAGGACCTTTAACTGTGACTAAACCCCAAATGGATTAGACGGTACCTAGTAAAGAGATTCAAATACGGATGCTTTAAAAAAATTAAAAAAAAAAAAAGAAAGAAGCAACCTGCTTTCGCTCATGCCACGTAAAACACCATATTTTCTTTGAATCATGAGGGATCCCAATTCAATATGATACATGTCAAAATTGAACTTGTTTAAGTGTCTGTTCCTTTCATCAATGATCAGATCGAGAGCTGTTATAAAAGATCTTTAAGATATTTGAAAGTTATTATAAATGTTTTTGCATTTTTAGGAGATGTAGATTTGAATTTGCTATTATTATTAATTTAAATTTTATTAGACCTCTTGAAGAATGTTTCAAAAATTACAACTTTTTTAAAGAAAGAATTTGAGATAAAAAATATTGGGTAATAAAATTTTATCTCGATCGAAAGATTGAGCACTTGATAATGGAACTTTTATCTAATGATTATATGGAACTTTTATCTAATATATATAAATATAATATATATATATATATATATAGTATATATATATATATATATATATATAATTCAAAGAAATTATAATGAATTATAGGATATAATAAGTACATAAATAGTTCTATCGAGGTTACTATATATAATTCAAGAAATTATAATGAATTATAGGGATATAATATAGTACATAAATAGTTATGAGGTTACTTAATAAGATAAAAAAATCATCTTTTGACCTTAGGCAAATGATGAAGAATTTTTTATTGTGAAGTACCATTATTTAATGAATAAGGTTGACAAATTTATCTTCCTAGCCATATTTAACTTGATATAACATTTTTTTTTATAGAAATATTATTCATTAATAATAAAATCAAGTACTATAAATATTCAATTAGACCAGATATAGAACTTACTACGTTAATTAATAGAAAGTTCATTGATTCTTTAACAACAAAATAATTATCCATATCAATAATAAAATAAAAATTAAAAGAAATAATATTAGATTTTTAAGTTTGAAGACAACCTTGACCGACATAAATCTGAATAGTAGTAACCGATCCTTTAATCTTTTATGCTTGGATTGTTGTTCTAAAAACATGTTGCATATGACGTACACAGATGAGTTCAAACCACTATGCGTTAATAGCATCAATGGAGGAACATGTCACACTACTAGGCTCCATTGATCGAAGATACAGATCAATAAAATAAGATCTAAAATTCTCCAACCAAATAAAATTAAATATCATACATTTTAATAACAAACCTTCACAAAGAAGGAACTAAACTCTCACGAAAGAAATTGACAAAAAAACTCCAAATATGGAGACAAAGCAACAATGATAAAATAAAAAAACAAAGAAAAACGGATCTATTAGAAGAAAATAAATCTGAATTATTAAAAACTAATAAAACATTTGTTTGATGAGATGGATGTCGAGAGACCAATGGCCAACGAAAAAAGAGTATTGAATTGTAATTAAAGCTTCTCACAACAGCCTTATATATAATTATAATAATTATTGGTTTCTATTCTTAATAATTATATATATCTTTGGTGCAGGTAGAGTTTACAAAACTCGTTGGCTTCTACTGGCTTGGATATCAGTGGCACTTAAAGTTAACTTTTTCGCGTTTACAGATAATTCACTTAGTTACTACTTTGCATCCCCCAAAAATGCTTTTTCAATGATCAACCTCCAGTTGCTAATTTTCGTTAATGGTGGACTAGCATTCTGTTTGAATTTTGTTGGTCCGATTACTAAGTACCATGTCATAGGATCTGGTAGAAAATTTATAATGCTTGGTA